ATGCTAATGTATCATTTAACATCATTATTTTTTATACTTACGTGTCAAACTAATACTGATGTAGATTTTTAATAAACAAAAAGTTAAAAAAGGCTACATCATGTGTTGACTTGGATCACACACTAAAATGCTCAAAGCGTAGAAACTAATATGCTTAAAATACATGAAGTAAAATGACTCCGTTATTTACTCACTACAATCAGGACCACAAGAGAGGCAGAGACCCCACTAATATGATGCTGGAAAAGCCTTGTCAAAAGCTAGAAAAGTGCCTTCAATAGCACTAGAAAAGTCACCATCGATGAATGATCTTTGGGAAGTGGTTGAGCGAGGCCAACTTCAACATTTGATGTGTCATTAACGAAGGTGCGGTTACTAGTTCATTTGATTTTAAGTTCATTGATCAAACTCATCATCTCTGTTTTGTTATTCTTATTAAGTTCTATTCTTTGACAATGGTTATACATTAGACTCTATTATCCTCATTAGTCTCGTCTCTAGTCTTTCATTAAACTCGTATATGGTCTAAGTTTGTTATACATGACTCTTATCCTCCCAGTTATACACTTGCTCTATTTTTTATGGCTCTGTCTTTTGTTATCTTTCTTCATTTAGAATGATTATTGAAGTTCTCTAATTGGTTGCAAGGTATAATATGAATGTGGAGGATGAATATAGTGGTAGTAGCAAAAGGAAGGGTAGTAGGCGTGTGAATTTGTTAGATATAAATATCAGTGACTTCTAAAATATTGATGATGATTATTTTAACTAGCATGTTGATATTGACATTGGTGATATATTAGATGAAGTCTTAGGTACTTTATAGTTAATAAGAGCTCCACCTACTAGATCAATTGAGTATAAGAACTTACTTGAGGTTACAGAGGAGCAGATATTGGGTTTGTTATTTGATTATGAATCTTATGGGCTTTATGAAGAGCAATTATCTAGTGATGATGAAGATGAAAGTGTGTCCAAAGCTAGGTATGGAAAATACAATCTTTTTGAGATGTGCAAAAAGTTTCAATTCAAATTAGGCATGGAGTTCACTTTACTTAGTCAATTTAAGGATGCATTAAGAGACCATGCTTTGCTTAATGGATATGAACTGAAATTTATTAAGAATGATAAGGTGAGGCGTGGAGTTAAGTGTGCATGGAAGGAAAGCAAATGATCAATCCTCGTGAGTAAAGTTAGTGGCCAATTGACATATCATTTAAATACATTTAAGTTTAAACATGTGTTGGTTGTCCATTAGCAAGAAGATGGCTTCTTATGTGTAGATTTTAGAAAAGATAGTTGGCATCATGAAGTCAAACAAAAACATTGAACTGTTTGACATTAATGCTACATTGAGGGACCATTATATGATTGGTGTGTCTAATATGCACGGCAAAATATGAAAAAGGCACCATAGTTTGTGACTTAGTCTTTTATGCTATAAAAGTCACATTTGAGATGGAATGGAAAAAGCGAATGGATGTGTTGACAGTGGTTTCAAAGGAATCCCATGATTATTTTATGGGATTTCTTCCTAGTTGTCGGATGAAGTCTCATTTTAGAGAATATTAAATATATGATGCAATCACCAATAATATTTCAGAGTCATTCAATGAGAGATTAGTAGAGGCAAGATAACCTCCAATTGTCAACATGCTTGATTGGATCCGAACATATCTCGTGACACAATTTGCTAAAAATAGTATGAAGGCTAAGAAGTATCATGACAAGGGTACTGTGTGTCCAAGACCCCACAAAAGATTAGACAAAGAAGTGCAAAAATCAAGGAAGTGAATAATTAGATACGAAGGACATAATCGATATGAGGTTTCATATCTCTCACAAAAGTTCAAGATTGATCTAAATGATAAAAGGTGTACTTGCAATTGGTCACAATTAAATGGCACTCCATGCAAGTAATTTCAACAAGCTTTGCATATAAGCTATTTTTTAATATCTATTCTAACTTTCATTAATACTTGTGATGTAGACATGCAATTGCTTGTATATGTAACAAAAAGGAGGACGCACATTAGTATATGGATCATTACTTAAGTTTGCAAGCTTTTATGGCTTGTTACTCACTTGTTATAGAGCCTATCAATAGAAAGAAGATATGACAAAAAAAAAATGATGAAGACCCTATTGATCCCCCAGTGCACCACTTTCTGGTCATCCAAAAAAGAAACAAAAAGGAGGGGTAGATAAGGATGCAACATCAACAAAGGTGAGGAGAGAAAATATAAACCTTAAGTTTTGAGATCATGGGAAGTATGGATATGATCAAGAGACTTACAATAATCTTAATAACCAACCTACACAAAGGAAGAGGTGCGCTAAGCTACCCATCAAAAGTACACAAAAGCAAGAATCTTGCACACAAGAGTCCATTAATGCAACTCCTCCTAGAAGCAATTAACCTTGATGTAGATGTGAACTTGCAGCTATGGAAATATGGGATATCTTTGGATACATGTTTTGTATACGGGATTTGACTTAAATGATTTTTAGGTACATGTTTTGTACATGGAATTTGACTTCAATTGGTTTTGGGGATGTGACTTGAATGGTTTTTTGGGATGACTTTATGTACTGCTTATCACTATATTAAGTCATGCGGTAAAGATTGAATTTTGATTTGGTATACTGAATCCACACGATTATAGTATTGGCATATATTTATGGGCATACCCTGCTTTTGTAATTCTGTCTTTCAACAGGATATACCCTACTTTTAACAGGTTATAATTCTTTATGTATATTAGCGAACAGACATTTCTTATCCCCATGTTTGTCTTAGCATTTAATTTGCACAGGCATTTGTAAATGTGTGTGCCTTCATTAGGCCTTAAAAATCTTTGACTTGGTTATGAATAGATGCTGTGCTTATTGGGTTGAGTATCTTCATTTTTGAAATGTTAGCGATGAGTGATTTACTTCAAGCTACACAAGAAGTTTTAGCATCTATCTCCATATTATTTTCTTGATTTGCAAAATAGGCAAACTTGAAGGCAAAGTCTCATCTCTGCTGTATGGGTTTTGTCTCTACTTATATGAAAAGGATAAGCCGAGGAAGGTGGATGAACTTTGCATTAAATAGGCCAAAATGGCCATAACTCTCCTCAATTTTAACTCTATTGCATACAACGTCCCTCATGCTTAAAAATTTAAAAACCACACTCTCAACTTAAAGATTTTGACATATAACTCCAAGCTGCTAAAGGGACTGTTAGATTTGATGGAATATATGCCATGCCATATTATTTATAATTACTTGGCAGGTATAGGTCAAAAAAATTACAAGGGGGATGACATGTAATTTTGGGTAATTAGTTTAATTTATTGTTATTCAAAACTAATAGCTTTCCTAAAAACAATTATGTAAATTTTCTCAAGACATTAGTAGTGTCACTGTCCAAATTTAAAGGAAGAATACAATGGAGATGGACACATAAAGAATGGATTTTGGAATGAAGAAGATGAGGATAATTGCTATCAGAACAATTTATTGTCACCTGCTTCCTATTTGAATATTCTGCTCGGTGCTCGCTCGTCGATTTGTGACCTTGACCTTTTCACGCCTTCCTCGTTGTTGCCTGTGGGATTAACTGAGTTTGATGAGAATTCTCAAACAAAGCAAAGTCTCTCATTCACGACATACAAGGAGGACTTGCGAGAGATTGAGGCAAAAAGAGCAAGACGATAATGCTACTGGAGACTATGGGAATTAGAGATTGTTACCGGTAAAATCACAAACCCCCCCCCCTTAAAATTTTGAATTCTCACTCAGGATGTGTTAATAAAGTATAAGAAATTACATGTCATCTTTCAAATAATTATTACTAGTATGATGTCGCACACATCTAATAAATTATAACAGTCATTTTAACAGTAAGGGGTTAAATGTCAAAATTTGCAAGTTGAGGGTGTGTTTATATGCAATACAACTAGAGTTGAGGGGGCCCATGAGTATTTTGGCCCATTAAATAGTCGAAGTTATGGCTAGCTCGAGCTTGTTTAGGAGATTTGCTCAGTTCGAGCTTCATTACAGTACTTATGGAGTTTCAGCTCGAGGGGTTTCATCGCCCATCATAGTCTTATCCGGCGTCATTTTCTGACGGGTGAACTTCATGCGTTTTGACCATTTTAGTGTGTGGTCCAGGTCATATGAGCGTATTAGTGTGTAGCCTTTTTTTTTTCCCCTTTTTGCTTATTAAAAAATCTACATCAACATTAGTTTGACATGTAAGCATGAAATTAGTAGTGTTAAATGACACATCAACATGATTAACATTGCTTATGCCACATCAACATCAACATCCTTCTAAAATTACAGAGACCAATGTTTCAGGCAAAATAAAGTGTAAGGAGTTGAAAGACAAAATAAATAAATAAAAATACAATACTTATAACAAAACTCAATTAGAGTGCAACCACTAACAGTTGTGTTTTTCTATTAAAATAATATAGTGTGGACAGATTTTACAAAATAGGCCGCCTAGTTTTCAAGTTAGACCATAATCAGTACATTTTACCATAAAAGTTATATTAACCAATCAGAATCAATAAAAAATATGAAAATTATAACAATAAGCTATCAATAAATTTATACATATTAATATGCTAATATTGATTATATTTTTATATGAATAGATTTATACAAATATAATATTATTTTTATTTATAAATCTAAATAATGCTTCTCGTTTAAACTTAATGTTAAATATAAAATAGTGTTATCTAAGAACTAACTAATGATAAGGATCGACGATACTTTGGCGCGCCGCAAATTGACACGCCAGCGGGTCAACGTGACTCGAATTCCTGATGACTAAAAGGCTACAACGGCACAAACGGACCGGCCAGTTAGTTTCGGTATTCAGTACTGGCAATATGATTCCACTGAACTTCTAAATCAAAAAATAGAAAATCCTATCAAAGACAAACATTCAAGAAATTAATTACTCCACCTGAGAAAGCTATGAAATAAGATAAGAAACTAGGAAGAAGCAACTTTGGAAAAAAAATGGGTATCGAAACTATATTTAAAAAAAAAAAAACCTGTGATTTTTTTCCTTGAGAAAAAAAACGGAAGAAGCAAATGAGAATGGTATTTGCAGCCTCCAGTTCCATGGGACTCCCTTGCTCACGTTTATACGCAAAATTTCACCAAACCCTTTTTTTCTTCCCGATTCAACATACCCAACATCCTGCTACAACTTTTCAACCAGCTATAATAAATGCTAAAGGATCAATTTTCGGCACTAAAACCCTAAGCAATCAAGTGTGCTTAAACCAGGGCCCCACTGCACCATTGACGTGGCCATTGCCGTGGATGCTTACCCCATTTGGAATGAGGGAAAGAGGGAGCCCCACGGGCAATGGAAGGGAGGCAGAGGGATATAATCCAGGATTGTGTGGAAGGGCGTGTGGACTCACAAGAGGACTGCCACCTGGACTCCCTTTACGCTGTTGAAGGGCATGGATCTGCCTCAGCCCTTCCTCGTGGATACGTGACAGTGTTTCCAACTCTTTCATTGATAGAGCCTCCAGACCAGCACCGTAGAGAGGAGCATGACGTGACATTTCCTCCTGAAGTGAAGCTTCCAGCGTGTGAATATATTGCTGCAAAAAGGAAAACCATATATTGGAGATCAAACACCTTCTAAACATTAAAACGTTGCCAACAATCGTGCAAACAAGCCACTTTTTTGGGCATTAAATAAATACTTCCTTAAAGCCGATTCTAAACTTTGATAATTTTTTTAACTGGAGGACTTCAGGCGCTTAAAAACGAGAGACGGGGGCAAACACAACGTTGAACAAACCTGGCAGGCCTGCAATTTTGATTCCATGCCATCAATATATGCTTCACACCTAGCAACCTGCTCTTCCTTCTCTCTCTTTTCTTCCTCAGTTTGTCCAACCGTTTGAGTCAATCTACGGACTTCATCCTCAAGCGATTTTCGTATTTCTTCCCGAGTGACATTTTCTGTTGCATATCTTTTCAGTTCTTCATCAAATCTCTTCCGTGCAGCATCAGCACTCTTCAATCTTTCAGCAAGTGCATTTTTTTCCTTGACTACTTTCTGTGCAAAATGAAATCAACATCAACTTAAGGCATAACCACAATAACACGCAATTATCAACGCAGAACCACAAGCCAGGCCCCCTATCCCAAGGCCAACATCACTCAAGCCAACAAATCAACAAAACACACACACACACACACACGTATTCTGGACTCGTGTTTCAACTCAAGTAACTATAGTCTATTGTATTGATTCTCCAGATCCTCCAAGGTTTTAGAAACCAATTCTGCTTGAATCGGAAATAAAAAGCACGCCATACAAGTTGCTGACAAACTAATAAATGATAACAAAATAAATTAGTTTGTCCTGTGATTTTCTCATTACTCCTTCCGTCCCATTTTATAAAATGTTTTCAGAGTGATTTGATATTTCATAATACAAGATATTTTGAGAAAAATAATAATTCATTAATGAAGCTTATTCCGAAATTATCTCTCATCATTTCACTCCTCAGACATCCACTTTTCACTTCCTCCCTTATTAAATGAAAGGGTGTTTTTATAAAGTTATATTTCTTTTTGGAGTAATTAACATTCCAAACTTTATTTATTTTGCTTTATTAGTATTTGCGACTTTGCCTTACAAAATGGAAAGGAGGGAGCATTAATTAATCACATGAAGTAAATGCTGTGATATGGGTTTGTTTGTTTTTTTTTTTTTTTTTGGGGGGGGGGGGCGGGGTTGTGGACAAATAAAACAAATGATGAGTGAGTTAGATAGCTTTATAAGCTAAAATAAGATCGCCACGATAACAAGAAACTTCAAATAGACACGCCAAAATTTGCCACGTTTTTGAAGCAGATAAAAAAAATCTATATTTTCCCCTTTATAGCCTTTAGGCTGTCCAATCAATAAAAGTTGAAATTAAGAACCACAGAAACACCCCTCAATCAAGGAAAAAGAATTTACTCATCATTACCGCAAAAATAGTAGGAGTGGAGGCCGCAAAAGGAGTAAATCTAATCACAAACACAAGTCTAAATGCTCTTGATCCCACGGTTAAAGCAGTAAGAGTTTTGGAAACACTAAATCATAGGCAAGGACGCACATATTTATATATCAATCACAGCTTACGTTTGCCAGGACAACCCATCACAATTCATAGCACAACTTCCTACACAAGGCGCAGGTTCGTGAAAGATGCAGGCATGACCAGTCTTCAACAGTAAAGTATAATAAACAGAATTTAACATTTTAGCGTCCTAAGTTTCTCTAGCACATCCAATGGTTTAGAAATAGAGATTTTTATCGCAATACCTTCAATTCATCACGTTTTCGAGACTTCAATTGTGACAGTTGTGCCTCTGCATCATGCACACGGTCCTGAAGAGCTTTTTTCTCTGCAGAGAGCTTTGCTATTTCATCATCCCGCTCCGAACGATGCCACTCAAGCTGACTTTCAACTTCTTGTATTTGTTCAACTAGCTCCTTCTTCTCCCGAGCCAACCGATCCATCTCAGCCCTCATTTCAGACTGTCAAATCATGAAACTCATCAGATCCAAAATTCCCAACTAATAGTCAACTACAAGAGATAACGCAAGTATATTATCAAATAAGACATATATAACCTTGAGACGAATACTTGTGGCCTCAGATTCACTCAGTTTTTGGGCAAGAATAGCTTTTTCCTTAGCCATATTGGAAATCTCAGCTTTCTTTTCTTCACGAAGACGAATGATTTCATCTTCACTGGCACATAACTGGTGCCACAGAGCAGACCGATCGACATTTGCAAGTTCAGCAACTTCCCGCATCATACTCAAAACAGGTCTAGCAATTTCCTGCTCTTCACAGATCAAAGTAACTAAAATATCCAAATCTAAGTCTACTTCATGTCCATTATCTGTAGTGCTGGTGGCACGGTCAACAAGCCTCTTGAGCATTGTCCCTCTATAAGATTCATCAGCATACCATCTGAACAATATCATATAAAGTAACTTCACAAATTCTTTCACGCACGGGTCTCTGGACAGTGCTAATGTTTCAGCAAGACCAAGAACTGAAGTAAAATCATCTCTTTGAACTCCGAAGGGTTCATTGGCATTTTCCTCCGCAACATCTGAACATGGAAAACTTTCTGCAGCATTTCTGGCATTATTAGTCAATCTCTGGGAGGCACGCTTCTCCAAGACCAAGGCTACAGACTGAGCACCAATTGCTCCTCGAGCTACAGCTCTATCAAAGGTTTGAGAAGCTTCAACAGCAAGACACGGAATTGATAGCATCTCGATCAGCATGTAAATATCAGAAAAATAACAACTAGCTCGGAAAGCCTGTTCATCAACCACATTCAATCCAGTGGGAGCAGTGCCATGTTCACCAAATAAGAAAAGTCCACATGACAGTGCTGAGCAACTGTCACCCAAGTCATCATCACAATCAATGTCCCTCAGCATAGTTTCCGCAACATCCTCCCAACTATTAATAGTCTTGCTCAAAAAGTCAAGGACACAAGGTGAAACCTGAAGACCTAGATTTTTGAGTCTTCCACGAACAGATCTAACCTATATAAAGGTGAAAATAAGGTCAGAAAAGATTCAAAAGATATTCTAAAAAGATGGCAGAAGCCACTAAAGGAACATGATGGAAGTTTAAAACTATGTTTAAGCTTACTGCTTCAGGAAGATGTTGACATTGAGATGCTGCTTTGAATATAAAATCTATAGTTGCAGCAAGGGGTTCACCATTTGAGTCAGCCAAAAGCTCAAATGATTGGCACAGAACACGTTCCCACACTTCACTACCACACTCCAGTTGACTAAGAGCCTCAAAAACCTGACAAACAAAAATTTCATCAATAGGAGAGAAATACAGTGTGGCCTTACACAGCATCATTTCAATGTTTCAGAAACAGTTTACATTTGAAAATCAGTTTCCCAGGACATTAGATGCATATGATATGATAGAATAACACCTTCGACAAGGCATTGAGGAAAAGAACAATAGCCAATCTTACACGCATTCGAAAGGAAGGTTCTGCATCAGGCTTCTGAAGTCGCTCAAGAAGTGCACAGGCAGCTAGTGGATGTTCTGAAGGGTCGACCAATTTTGGAACCAGTGCTAAAAGGTCAGCTTGCAGATGCTTAGGAGCTTTGTCCAACACAATAGAAATTTTGCGTGCAGACTGAGGACGCCGTCGTGGCTCAGGACAGCCTTGTGGAACAGCCCCATCAAGGGTTCTTAGTGAGTTTACAATTAAACCTAAGAGCTCCTCGGACTGTTCTGGCCACTTGGTCTAAAATTCCAAGTTCACACAGTCAATACCATAGATATGTTAAACAAAACCACCTTTTATGAAGAACGACAGTACCTTTGATCGAAAGGATGGATTTTCTGAAACAACAGCAGATGTTTCTGGTGGAAAAATAGGTTTTCCAGGAAGAGCTTTCGCCTCAATAACACTGCCGTTTGAATCAGAGCTGTGTACAGCAGATGCACTACTACTTTCTTCATCTGCAGAATCCAATCTCTCATAAACAGGAAATTGAGCAGATTCCGCTGCCCCATTTTCTCTATCACAATCAAGAGGACTAGCAGCTCCACTGCAATCACGAGATGTTTTCAAGCATGCATCAGGAGAATCAGCAGCACAGGACCCTTCAGAAGGCTGGCAGCATTCCACCATTATATCCAAAAGTAAATCAATGATTGCCTGCTGCAAGACCTTAACTCCCATCAGCAAATTCATCAAACTAGGGGAAGATTCATCAGCCTTAGCAACCTTCTTCCCATCACAGCTACCAGAGAGCTTGGTTGGAAGAAGCAAACGCTTTACTTTCACAGGATCATCAAGGTAAACCCGCAGTCCAGTCAGAAACCCAGCAATTGCACCAGCATCCATTAAAAGCTTTTCTCTTAAAGTAACTTGTGGTTGCAAAGGATTATCTCCATATGTTAGGTGAAATCCAGCTCGAGAAAGAAGATTTCTGAAAATGTCTTCTTCATCGCCACTTATTCCTTCACTGTCTTCAGAGTCAACAAGTTCATCAGGATCAGTTGTCAAAGCATCCTGATCATCATCTGAAGCTAAAACCTGGTATAACAAAACTACATTAAAAAGGGGGGGAACAACAGTGGCAATTAAAAAAAAATTCATAGTTGCAAAAAAAGTCATGAAAATTTCTGACTACGTAGCCACTGACAGTCTAAGAGGTAAATTATATAATGACAATGACATACCAAAACTAACTCTCATACTATGGCCCAGTTAGTGGATAAAAATGTTCAGCAAGTGCAAGATTATGAACAACAGTGTCAACCAACTTCTTTAACACAGCAAACGCAAACCAGAGGGAAAGATTTGTTTTTATGAAGAGGAGGGGAAAAGGCTCTTTTTATTCATTAGAAAGATGAGGAGAGGACTACAGTCCCAATCACATCATTTGCAACAAGATTCTCTAAAGACAGTTGAATGTCCTCATGGATCACAGTATCAATAGAAGACAGTATGCCCAACTTAGCAAGGCTGTATGGAGGGCCAATTGGAGCCCTAGCAACATAGGAAAATACAACTTCCCATTAGAGGGAAAGAATAATTTTGTTCCAAAAAATAATGAGTAAAGAGAAGGACACCTTCTGTAGTTTCTGCTGAGAAATGCAAACAAGAATATCATATTTGAGAGCATGGATTGATCACCTTAAACATTCATCTCCAAAGCTGAGACTCACTGCATGCATCTTATCACCGAATAACATGCAAAAGTTAAAAGGAGGGGGCAACTTGTCTTTAAACTTGATTAATAAAATTTTATCATCTATCTATACTTATTATGGCTTTGGAGCAGTTTGGTGTTTATTTACTCTAAAAAAAATCCCAAATATATAAGCATGTTTGGGTGTATTAAAACAAAAACATAAAATGGATCCCAATGCAAAATCAGATCTCATGAATGAAATCAGTGATGCATAAATGGCAGAAGAGCTCCATGTAAATACAAAATATGAGTCGTCTATTATCTTGATTTCAAATATGAGCCATCCTACAGACAGTAGGAGAACAAAAAAATAGAAAGACAGCAAAAACGAGACAGAGACCGAGAGAAATTGACCAGGCAATACCAAAAACAGTTACCTCTAAGTCTGAAAACTCGAACCAAGGGCAGCAATCCAATATTTCACAGACAAAAACAACAGTATCACGAACAAGAAATCCCGCATCTGCTTCCAATATATCAGACACCTTCATGAATTGCAAAACAGAATTATTCCATGTCTTCGTACATATAGAGGATTCCTTCCACACTGTCTTGGCTGGATTCTTTTGATTCACAACAGCCATCCTGTATTTAACCCAAAAGTTTTTATCTGGATCACTACCTACAGCCTGGTCGCTTTCTAGATAAATACATATGGTATCAAAGGACTCATACACACCTGTGACACAGAAACATGAGCTCAGAATATGAGAATGACAATGCAAAAAACTGTATTAGCGAGACAAAGTACCACCTACCAATCCGAAGTTCACATCCACCAGCCTGAAAAAATTTACTGAAGATCTTTCGAGTCTCCATTATTTCCTTAAAAGATAGGAAATTCTCCACTTTCCATGTAAATGTCCTTCTCTTTACATACCTATCAGGAAGGGAACCACTACTACTCAACTCAGAATCGTAATCAATCAAATCCTGCATTATTGATGTCTCTTTCAATATAAGAACTTCCGCTGAGAACACAACAGTATCCTGGACAAGAAAACCAGAATCTTGATCAAAGAGACTGGTAAGGGTCACAAATTCACGCCAGCCCCAATCCTTGGCAGCCTTGGAGTAGCGGTTCTGAGATTCCTTGCTGACAGACTTCTCCTCCATCTTCTGGTTCACAACTGACAACCGATGACTGACAAAACAACTCCAATCACTAGAACTATTTCTTGAATCTGTAACTTCAAGAAACACTGAAAGATGGCATGGAGGCTGAGACTGCCCTGATAGTATTTAAAAACAGATGGAAAAGAAAAATCAGCAGGATCCTCTACTAATGAAAACCTCAATATTATTTCGGTCTATTAAAAAATATATTTATGAACTATACCCATGCCGTTGAAAAAACATCACAATTATAAGCCATTTTTTGTAGTGGTTTTCACAAACTTGATCTCATCATAAGCATAATTACATGGTACTAATGATTTAAATTGATTTTGGAAAAACAGTCCTTCAAATCAAACATTACAAAAGATTCTTATTTGGGTTACAAATATACATCAGCTGCTAAATCCACTATAGTGTTAATTCAGATAGCTATAAACCTATCACCAGGAAAGTGACAAAGCAAAAAGATTTAGGGAAAAGAAAATGGCAGACCTCGGGGATATACAATGAGACGGCAATCCCGATTACCAATTTGAAACCTCCGGCTCTTGATACAAAGACCCGTGATTTTTCTCTTCTTCAATAAATCCTTTAACCTTGTGAAGTTTTCAATCCTCCAAGTAAACTTACCCATATGACCATCTGATTTCCTCGCGCCACTCCCACTTCTTCCTGCAATTAAAGCCCCATTCTTGGAGAAGCTACTAAACTCTTTAATCACATGAAACGAGGTACTAAAAACTGCAGTGTCATCCACCAGAAACCCTGAATCAGGCCCAATAAAATCTGACATCTTCATATAATCATTCCATCCCAAGCTCGTATTATCACCACTTTTATTATCAGCCGCAAACCGCCCATAAGAATCCCTATGCATGTGATTCGAACCTGGCCTCTGGTTCAAGACTGACATTCGAAATAAACACCAGCAACTCTTATCAGACAACATCACTGTTTTGTCTGTATCCTTGCTTTCCAAGCACATTGACAGATATTCAACCCCATTAACCGAGCTCTGATAGACACTGATCCTCAAATTACACTCGCCAGCTGGAAAGACGGGGCTCATTATCTTCTGTGTTTTTATCATCTCCTTGAATAAACTGAAATTATGCACTTTCCAAGTGAATTTTCCACTCAACACGTCGGAGACAGGGCCAGCGACAACAGAGGAAGATATCATGGATGAAGAAGAAGATGCCGATGATTGCAGCTCATTGTTGTCTCGAGTAAAATTAATAGACTCATTAAGAATAAGAATGTCAGCGGTTATCAATACCGAATCCCCATTAAACAGATAGCCCAATTTTGGATCCAATACTGTTGAAGAAGGCGTGAAATCACACCACCCGTGTGATTTCTTCTTACTCGAGAACCGATGCCACGAATCCCGATGAATGATCTTAGAATCGTCGGCCACGTTCACGATTGCCAGCCGGTAACTAGCAAAACAGTCCCATTTGGACGAGGAAGTGCCCCGAGGGTCCATGATTTGGAGGTATATGGAGATATAGCCTGGCAAGGCCTGAGAGTCACCCTTGGGGTATATCAAGAGACGGCAATCATAACCTCCAACCTCGAAGTACTTGCTCCATAGTGCCCTAGCTTTTATTCGCGGAAAATTATGAACCGTCCAGCGGCAAACGGCCGAGTAGTCGCCCCGGCGTTCGACGGTCACGGACTCCTGGGCGCCGCTTCCATCCCTTGACCCGACAGCCAAGTCCTCCAGAGCAGGCGCGGACGAACCAAAAACGGGTTTGTCCGGCGAAGCCAACGACGACGATGAAGTGGTAAATTGTGATTGGTCTGTTGAAGAGGGTGCTGAAGATAAAGACGGAGCTGCCTCAGACGAGGTATGCTTCATTGTTGTTGTGGCGCTGGTTCGCTTGTTCCTTTCTCTAGTTTGTGTTCTTATCGTCAACCAATGTTCAAGGCTTCAAGCAGGAGAACAGAGGACAAAGGAAGGGAAGGGGGAGTCTAGGGGAAACGACTAGCGAGGATACACGGACGCGGTAAGAGACGGGAGCAGGAGAATCAGGGACGGGCGCAAGATAGCAACCGTGCGCTTGTTTGGAGGCGAGAGTTCGTGTCTCTAGAGAACTAGGGGGCGCATGATAGCATCATGGGTTTTTTTATTTTTCAACAACAACTTTTTCAAGTTTTTATTCATGGCAAAATTGGCTGACACAGACAGTGATAAGATATATAGATATTCAGTATATGACGGACTGATGATGTTAAATGCAACTGGGCATTTTCCAGCCGTCGATTTTGGGGTGGTTAATGCAGAGATTGATGCGTGCGTCCCATAACATTTTCCAATAGGGCCTGGTCAGCATTTCAGAAGTTTAGGGTTGTTCTTGCTTTAGCCGGGGCGCTGTGATGCGTTAGATCGAATTGATTGTAGCCGTTACCCTGCTGGGCACTGTTTTCCCCCGACCCTTGAAGGATATGCCCCCAAAAAGGCAAAAGCTATGGCGATGTCTGTTGTAATATTTTTCTTTTTTTTTTTTCAGCAAATCAACAGCTCAATGTATGTGGCAATGGACAAACAAAACAAGCAAGCGTCGTCTTTTTTTCTTTCTTTGTCGAAAATGGAAATGCCATTCCCTGTAGCGGATCAATTCTTATGGCTAACCAGCTTATCTCTGAAAAAAAATTTGTATTATTAGCTCTTTCAACAAAAAATATATTTAAAAAATTATTTTTATAATGAACTCCAAACATGTAGCGATGTTCTACAAATCCTCCCATAGAGCATTAGTACCATCAAATTAAACATGTTACAATCCGTTCAATATACCTTTCTCAGTTCCACGTCTGAAATAAATATATAACATAAAGGCATTACTTGCCAAAGAGATCCACCTTAACTGATTTTTTTTTTTGTTCAAAAAAACTTTTTTAGGGTAACAGTTGAATGGTTTATCGTGACAATAAATGAAAATTAAAAATAAATATCTATAATATTTTAGAAGCTAATGTGGGCAGCATAGCACTCCGGATATAAGTGTCTAAAATCAAGCCCATGCAGAACACCAGCAATACCAAAATAACACTACAACGGTGGATGACAACAAAGCTGAAAACTGCAAATGGCGATACAATAATAGCTACCATGTAACTTCCTATAGAGTTAAAACCTACAGCAGACTGCTCATTTATTTAATTATTAATTAATAGTATAGAATCTATAAAAAGGTCATTCTATCAAAATGAAGAAAAAGAAAAGTCTATGCAAAGTTATATTTGTATTAGTTTCCTACACTGCTGCATGCATAAATCACACAACCAAAAAAAAAAAAAAAAACGAAGTCAGGCAACAAGACCATGTAAATACGGAACAGAAAAAAAATATAACTCAAATAGAATATAACAGCATGTAGTATGACAGAAAAAATGGAAAACACACTATCCACGTCCTGTTAGTAGAAGGAAAATTACTTGACACCAACAAGAAGTTGCAGTACCATAACTCAAAGACTTGTGAATCGATGTCCTGTTTAATCCAAATTTTATAAGGATAAAGATACAATATATGTAAAACGCCCAGTCAAGCCTCTGCACCAAAACTACAACCCAAAAAACTTTGCTTCTAAGTAAATGAAGACACTAGCAACCACCCGAAATTCAAGCTGAACCAATAGAAATCAGCAGAACAATGGAGGGTAAGGAAGAAACCTCTGCAAGCAGATTTGTAAAGGACAAGGAAGCACACTTCAACTCATCAGACAATCCCTTCACTTCAGGCAAGAAGGTAGTGCAAGCCCATGGCAAACGAAAGCCAATACAACATAAACAATCACTATCAGCAGAATTATAAGTGCAATCCTGCAACATGCCAGTTGGTCAGTAGCATAAAACCCCAAATATAGAGCCTTCTAACAAAAACTCAACAGTGTCAGGGAAACAAAATTACAGTAATTTTAACAGAAATGAAAAATCACTTAATTGTGCTGAAGAACTACAAGACACCAACAACTTCCCTCTAGATTATTCAACAAGCTAGAGGAGTTAATCGCTCTCTGTCAACAGTTCAGAATAAATTAATGTACACTCACCAGACAAGGGAGATGAAGTTACAGTTATTTTAACAGAATTAGTTCATATTCCTTAAGTAAGTGAAAAACTTGTTCATTGTGTTAGCGACGAAGTAGCTCATAAGATCTTATGGGGAAAATTTATTATAAATCATTCAAGAGATAGCAGCTTATCAGTTAACTCTAAACCATATTAACTGTTTATGAGTGCCAACCACTCAACCCAAAATAACCAAACCTTACACTACTCCATGTCAGCGGCTTCATCATTAATAATTTAACTGTTAATGGGTGATAAGGGAAAGAATCTCCATTCTACTGATGCAAATAGAAAAGCCCACAGAAGTAAATTTGAGTTTTAGGCAGAAAACATACGTAAGCTTAACATTTCTCCACCAGACTGTGCTTCTAAAGCGGCGAGCTTGCTTCCTAAAGCGAAAGGTGTTTCCTTGCATATTAGCAGTCTTATCCACCAGCAATTCCAATCGATCACCTCGATCAAGAACTTTGTCAATATTTTCAATCATGACATTCCTTACCTAATAAATCATTGAAAGGGAATATCAGTGATAGCCAAAATGTCAAAGCAACAAGTTCCTTAAAACCAACAGTGAAGGCGAACCAGTATATCCAATTCAAAGATATTGAACATCCAAATTCTCACAACTGGATATACAAGTTCCTTATTTTCCCCCTTTTGGCATTATATCCAAATTCAAAGATGGTGAACCAGTATGTCCAAATTGTTAAGCGTCAATACTTCAAGTTTTACATGGAAAATTAGGGAAATTGTTTAAAGGTAGAAACATGATGTCCTTATTTTCCCCATTTTGGCATTCACTTGTAAGATTTATATCAGAACTGCCTTTTGGAAAAAGAATATAGAGACATCACTTTACCACATATACTTTATGGCATACATCAATTAATCATATAAATAACAACAAACATTATTCCACTAGGTGGTGATCAATTGACCATGTGAATGGTCAAAAAATAATTGAGGAAACAAGTACCATTTTTTACGCAAGAGGAAACATGCACATTGCCTTGCTACAATTTCGTAACCACCACACAATAGTCTTATAAAGCTTGATTTTATGGTCACTCTAAACAAAGTAAACACCAACATAAATTCCAAATAAACATTGTCATGTTGTCATTTTTTCAGTTTGGGTTTTAAATGGAAGTTACCAGCAAGCGAAATCTACACAGCACTAATGAAGAATGATTACTTTCTTATTCTTCTTAATACAAACAAACTTGTGCAATACTAGCCTATTGTTATATTTTTTCCTTTCAGGGTTGAAGAGCCTATTGTTATATTATATTATTATATCACAATAACATGATCATGTCACGCCATTTTCTTCCTTATATTCAAGCTAAAATGCGTTCATAGAGAAGCAAAGGGCTATCATTAAACTGTTAACTGATCAAAGTAACTACAAAGCAGATAATCCTTCCCAAGGATTAGAAGAAAATTGATAATTCAAACAGAGAAGCGTGTGATGGCCAGAAAAACAATAGAGAAGTGTGAAACATATAGTCTCGAATAAATTTGATTTGCGCCTTTCAAAGACTGATTTACTAGATGAGTTCAATGATTACCTGGCTCATTTCACCTTTTAGTCTATTTATCCTATCAGCATTAGGATCATTAGAGTAATATTCCATTTGCTGGCTTAAAATTCTTGAGAATTCCTCATTCATCCCATAAGCATGAGCTGAATGTACTGCACGTCCATATGTCCTCACAAATTTCTGATGAATGTCCTCAAGAAATGCAAAAGGAATTCTTCCTGCAAAAGGAAGTAAAGAATGTGTGGTATATTTGCAAGATGCCAAGGTCAGATCAAAAAAACACACACACACACTTGCAGGCCGAGAATATTGAAAAAAGAGATTCAATACGCGAACAAGCTGACAAGGTAATTCTTGTTTCTCCAGGATTCATTTTCCAACTTAAAAGCGACTTTTTCTAACAAGTGCAGGTCTCAGATATAAGAGGCGTAACCCATTATTTATTACAAGAGGCGAAATCTGTGTGGATGGTTCGTCTAAATTATAAGAGACCTTCGAATTTTGGTATCCCAAAATTGAACCAAACGTGCTGAGGATGATAAATAAGTTCTATTCAATTCTCATTTACAAATGCACATATCAGACCAGTAGAATTCCACAAGCACGGTGCTTGTCAACATCGACAGCTTGTCAGATTCAACCAGGACAACTTGCAAAAAGCAAAGCCAAGAAGCAACAATCAAAGGAAGCAGAAACGCTGGAAGATTACCAGTGGCGGTGTACATGGAATGATACCAAAGAAGATTAAAAAATGTTTTCAGCTTTTTCAAAAAAAAAAATGTGTTCACTGTTCAGGTATATTGAACATTTTCATCAAAGATAAATGAAGAACAGAAAATTATTATGAGGGGTTCCCGCTGGAAATCAAATTTCAACCCAAAATTTCACCGTTAGTCGAGAACACATCAATAGTGTGCAGAAATAATTCATAAAAATAATATACCAAAAAATTATCATTAACACAGCATAAACAAGAACAGAACTCACTGCCGGCGGTTTCGTCGGCCATACAGAGGACAGTGAGACCATCGGTGCGCTTGACGTGAAAAACATAGCGATCCTGAGAATAAGAGACATGCGAATCGTTGTCTCCTGGTATCTTCTCCAAAATCTGGCGGGCGATGGCGCTGGCGTTTGTCGACGTGGCACTGAATTCCGCCAAAACCACCGATCCCCTCGCCACCAGCGCGTAAAGTATGGCCATACCCTCTCCTGGCTATACTTCCTTGCGATAATAGATTTAGTGACTGGGAGATGAGTCCTCTTGGGAGACTTATCAGGAAATTAGATATTCATAGAGCTAGATCAAACTTGGATGTCCCAATGATGAAGAAGCTTCGATACCTCCCTCTTTTCCCTCTGCTGTAACTGAACCTGGAAAGTCCTTCTCTGTGCTGTACAATTATTTAATTGATGGAATATTATAATGAGATATCTGATTTCTGATCTGTGAGTGCCTATTGGCGGAAGCCGGAAACCGATGAGGGAAGTTGAATTTCTTTTGTTGAGGGTCTGGGTTGTTAGGAACGAAATTATGAACCGAACTGGACCCTTGGGCGGCGTTACGATATCCCCAACTTTCCCTTTGCTTGCTGTCCGTTTTTTGTGAAGGAAAATGCTATTAATCTATATCCATCCATTCATATCAATGCGTTCGTTTGGGGTTTCAAACACTTTGTATCTCAGATTCATTTTTTAATATTTCATATGTTAAATACTGTTTGAACATTTTTATGTGAATAAAATAATTTTTTGAAAGTGAGTAAAAATATAGTGAAAATGTAAATTTGCGAACTCAACTTTTATGTGGATTTAAAAATGTAAATGAGAGTTGGATTGTACCTTTGTCCAAAAAAGAAAGAGAGTTAAATTATATTTATTTTTATAAATAATCATGATACCTTTATTATGTTTTATTTTTTTAATATTAAATTATATACTTTTATTATTTTTATTTAACATATTAAATTTTATATTATTTTAAAATTTTCACATTTTTAAACATTTTTAATATATTATATTAATATAAAAAAATATAAATTATCATAAATTAATTTTTTTGTGATTACATGATCAAAAATACATTTTAAAAGTATAAATTATTATTAATTCAAACAACTTTTAATTTATTAAACTAAATTTTTAAAAAATATTTAAATATAAATTTTGTTACAACAATTAACTTTTATTAAATTGTTTTTTATCAAGTGAATTTTTGATAAATAAATTTTTAACAAATTAAAAATTAAACATACACTATATCTATATTTTATATATTTTCAGGTCAAACAAAATATATTTTATATGTAAACTATAAAATCATGATCTAATTTAACTCTTTTAAAAAAAAATTGTTACAAAACAGACGTACACGATAAATATGGAACAAAAATTATATTTTAATTTATTTTCATTGACTTGAAATAACTTAAAATTTCAGATATTTATTTATTGTTAGTCAGTGCTAATGCTCCCTCTCCTTTTTATAAAAATGTCCGGTTGAAAAAATATTTAAAATCATTTGTTAAAAAATTTAACACGAGCCATTAAAACTGTGGCATAGATATCACCTATGAAGTGCCAACATTTTAAATTCTCTCACACATTGATATCAATATCATATATTATATTAATACTTGTCAATACTTTTTCAATATGTATCTATAAAATATTAAAATAATATTTTTTTTAATTTAAAAATTTTTAATTGTCAATACATATCTAATACTTTTATATTGCAAGTCCATACTTTAAAAACAAAAATTTAAAAAAAATATTAAAATTATGATATTAAACTTTTTATTGCTAATATTACTTTTTTATTTACTTTTAAAGTTAAAAATTATATCTTACTTCAAATAGTGAGCTTTGAATGTAATAAAAGAATGAAAATTATATTTTTTTAATTATAAAAATGCAAGAATGTAATTTCATGATGATCAAAGAGGAAGAAATATTGATATTATATCTATTAATAGGAAATAGGTGGTAAGCAATTAAGCAATTATGTGTGCGTTAGTTTGAATATTTTTGAAATTAAAATCATATTTTTTAATATTTTTTGTGAACATATATACACATATCAAAAATATATTGTATTTTATATTTTTAAAAATTAAAATATTAACATATTAGATGTTTGTCATACTCGATACATCAGTATCTATGGATCATGGGAGATCACCGCAATAATCAATAACGTAATATAATCAAGCTCATCTGTTGCGGTGCTCCGAGACTAGTTGCTAGTCTCTTATCTATTAGTTATTTGGTTACTTGTCCCGAGATTTATTTTATTTTTTATTTTTTCAAGGATTGAGAGTATATAAATTTATTTACTGCATTCGTCTTGCTTCCGCCTCCTCAGTCTTCGATGTAGGGACTTGTACACGGGGCGGAAAAAAGTCCTTTCGTGGATGACACATTGCCTCAAATCAAACGTTTCAAATGGTCACGAATCAAGATAAGGGTAGTGGGTATAAGCAATGTTCAAGAGCTTGAACTAGAAAACGTCGAATTTTAAAAATATCATTCACAAGCACCTCGTATTTAACATTGAACAGCATTTTTACTTGTTTTATTTTTTTAAAAAAGTAAGCATGACCTATAATCAACACATTGTTAAACGTGTTAATTGTTTATGAACTTTGACTCTTAATCAATGCCTATACTGTCTTCGCATGTTGAAGTTTAAATTTTACAAGAGAGGGGGGGACTTGGAAAAGAAAGGCGGGCCGTGATTCGGTTTTTTTTTTTTTTTATACTAAAGGGCATGATTGGTATTGAAAAAATTATTCGCCGACAGATTTAAGAACAAGTAAAGCCCGCATATCAATCAATCAAAGCTAGTCCGGCAATCGCCCAGGCCCGTGGGTTCCAACCAATTCGAACTTTCTGGTCACGTGATCCACATCTCTTCTTTTTCAATCGTGTGACAATTCCATTATTCCGTTTGAAAAAGAAGAAAAAAAAAAGGTGCTAGAATATTCTTTTGTTTTTATTTCAATTTTTTTATAGCTCAGCAATTTTAAAACTTTACGCTTGCCAAATAACGCAGCTTTTTGTGCGGGCCTCTTTTTCCTTTTAAAATAATTTCATCCTAGGCTTGAGAGGGTCCCTTTTTTTTTTTTTGAGCAATTTTTCATGTTGAGCTATAGTTTTTAATTACTTTTTAAAATTCTAGCTCTGGCAAGGTAAGAGAGCACTGTAGTACTACAGCAATTTCTGAACTTTTAGACTTGCGTCGCGTGACTTAAAGTAATTAACTATCTTTTTTTATCATGAGTTGTGAGTAAAAATAAGTGCTTAGTGATACATCACCTAATATTTGAAAAAAAAAACATATCTGATGTTAAAAATTTTGTCTGAATGAAAAATTGATATTTATTTGAAATACAAATGAGCCTGATATTTTTCTTAAAATGACACTCTTCTTTGCTCAGGGTAAAAAAATATGCTCATTTATTATTTTACACGTGCTCTGGTTGTAATTATAAATTGGGATAATAAAACTTTGTAGTCCATAAAGTTTTTTTAAATTATCAATTTAATCTCTTAAATTTAATTTTTACTAAATGAGTACTTGATGTTTGCTTCAACAATTGATTTGGTTTTCATCGTTTAAAAATTATATAAATATAGTTAAAACTTACTAACATACAAAATAAAACATTGATGTCAGCTATATAGGTTGATAAAAGATAAATGTAATTATTTATGCAGAACAAGCGAAATCAATAATTTTTTAAAAAACATAGTGAGAAACTAGATTAATAAAAATTTGAATTGATGTAAGAACTAATTTGCCCTTATTTAGCTACGTATATGTACCAAATCATTAATATATTTTATAAATTAAATTAATTTGAATATCAATTTATATTTTAAAATTTAAAAGACTCACATGATAATTTAAAAACAGCTCAAGTATCAAATCAAAAATAAATAAACTTAAGATATTAAATTCAATAAGTGAAGCATGAAAAAATAAATGTTGCATTGTTCCTTATTAATATTACTGAACCACGTACTCCTGATATTTTTTTCAACTACTACAACATTTTTTCCCTCAACCAGGAGTTTTAAAAGTGTTGCCTATAGGCAACCGTTTTAGTATGCTATCATTTATCTTTAGTTTAAGCTGCAAATATTTGACAACATTTAAAAAATATTCTTTAAAACAAAATAAGCAATAATTATCAAGTATTGAGATAAAATTTTTAAATAAGCAACATAAAAAATTGTTGGCTATAAAAGCAAATTTATTGCAACAATTCAAAACTATTCTCTATTATCTAACAGGCAACAAAAAAATAAATATTAATTGCCTATAGATCTTCTTCTTGGCAACATTTTAAAACTGTTGCTTATTGTTTTCTATTAATAAAAAATTATTTTTCATTTTTATATAACTTATTTATATTATTTTAATTAAAATTTAATTTAACAACTGTACATATCTATATAATATTTTGCGTTGTAATAATTAAAAGCCGTGTTTTATGGGTCAATAGAGTCATCTCATCTATTTAAAAGAATTCATGATCAAATTATAGGTGTGGAATGAAATATTAAATTTTAGTTATTTAATGTTTTTGCAAGAAGTATTAACCACCATCTATACTTATATGATAAGCAACGGACAAAAATCATTGCTTATTTCAACATGCCAAAATCATTGTCTATTGTGTTGCTATATGCAACAGTTTTATTATTCGCGGCGTAAAATTAGTATGAAAGAAACTTGTTGCTTTAAAATATAGGTAACATTTAAAACATAGGTAACATGGGCAAGTCTTGTTCTTAAAAACTGCTGCCTATACCTATATATAAATAATTGTTTTGCATCTTGTTGTGATGGCTTTTTATTGTTGTCGTAGATAAAAAATGTTATAGCGATGTATGCTAAAAATTACGGTATATTTTTTTCATAAAAAGAAACTGTATATCTTAATCAAACTACCAATATCAAATAACTAGTCCGACGTCATCTTAGAAGATGTTTCTGCCCATATTCTGCCTAATTGTACTTTTAAAGTGTATATGTTTAGTTATGGAACTGATCGCCAATGATAATTCTCAGCACACTTTACATTACATCAAACGAAGTCTAAATCTAGTCCACACCAAAAGTGGGAGTGAGATGGGTATTTGGGTTAATTAAGTTCATTCTTATATCTACTTGTTTTTCTCTCTCTATTCTTGTTGCGTTGCATGGAATTGAAAAATAATAATTCATGGCTTGTGAATAAACTAGTAATTAGATTTGACAAAAAAGGAAAAAAAAAAACTAGTAATTAGATTACCTTATTTTTTCCCCCTCCAAGAATACAAGTTTGTCCCATCCCTTTTCCTCATGGTCTCGCGCTCCCTGTTTTATATTCACCGAGAAGCATACAAGTGGAAACACATTTTTCCATAAATCACTCTCGTATCTTAAAACTGGCTCATATTTCTAGCAGGAATGGCTTAATAAAAATTCAGACTAATCTAAACTGAGTTGGATTGAAAGCTATTGACCAATTAACAAGAAGGAGGACCAATGTCCCTGTGACCTTTTCCTCTCGCCTCCAACAAATAACAGACAGCAAGAATACGACTTTAATCGCCTCAAAGTTGCCACGCACTGCTTTAACCTGCCTCTCATCACATCACTAAAATGTCCTTTATACCGCCAACTCCGTGAGTGAAGGAAGCTGATCTATAAAAGTAGAACTCCCTCGAGAATAAATCTCAGAGCATATGTACAAGGAAAAGAAAAAAGAGATATTTAATTAAAAGAACTACTCATTTTTTTCGTTATCTGAAACAATTAGCTTCACACGATAGGTGTTCGCCTTTATTGAGACATTGGGGAATGTGTAGGGCTTCCAATGACGCAGGGGAGAGGATAATAAATATTATTACCAAAATATATATTGATTAGGAAAATAAACCGTAAATTAAATTAGCAAAAACAAAAAATCATGCATGGCTTTCGCTTGCTTTAATTTCTTAGTCTACACTCCAAGGTGTGCTAGCCTTGCTGGCCCGACATGCAGCGTCCGTTCACGTGCTCGATGCTTCTCCCTTTGTGCTTATTTCCGTTTTTATTTGACTCGGTCTAAAGTAACGCGGCCAAATTTGGACAATAGGGCAAAAAAAAAAAAAGTAACTTTTTTAATTTCAATGTTTAAAAAACTAATTAATCTCACCTTCCGCCAAAATTCCAATTTTAAACAATGTATCACCACACTGTATATAAACTTTATATCATAGTAGTATATTGTTATAAATAGGTATATGCGATTATTATTTTTTTCATGTCAGAATTTAAAATATAGCTGCAGCTTTCAAATATTAAGTTAAGTAATATTGTATAAAGCTAAACATAATATTTGGTGCGTTATATTAATTTATATTTTCGTTAAATGATAATGCATGTGTGTAAAAATATTAATTCAATGAAGTCCTTTCTTAATAATTGATGAGTGATAATACCGACAAATCCCTTCATATATGAAGACAACATATAGGCTGGAATCCACTTTTTAAAATAGAAATCAGTTTCTGCTAGTTCGACTTGCTTTTTACTTTCACCTGTTCCTTTCCACCCTCCAAAACAACAAATCCTGAACTAAATTTCCCGCACGTATTTTATGCCCCTCTTTATGTCTAAGCTGTTTTCCACTGTGTCTGTATTTAACATTCCCTCGGTTAACTATAACAGTATTAAGCTTAAATATTGGTTACAAACTGTGAGCTTGTGTGTCTTTTGAAATTCATGCTCACAATTCAGTTGTGTGTGTGTGTGTTTTTTTTTTTGTCCCTTTTCCCTCTAATTCCTGTTTTTTTTTTTATAATTACCTAGTGTCAGTGCATCGGGTCCATATATTTTTAAATGTACGTAATTATCAATTTTTTGAATGTAGTCCATCATAATATTTTCAAAATTCTTAATTGTTGACAAAACATAGCCTCCATAGTTTTTAAGTACATGTTATTCATTCGAAACAAAAATATTAATAAAAAAAACATGTTCAGCCATGATATATTGATATGCAAGGTTGGTCTATTGACAATACGCTCCTTAGTCCTTACAATGCATCAATGCTCCTAAAGTCATGTCAATAGTACTTTTCAAATTAAATTTGCATGCATATAAATAACTTTATATTTTTATTTTAATTTGCTGGATATTTTTAAAAAAAATTTAAATACCTTCTGCATGGCAAGAGGCAATCTATATACGTTCTCGCTAGACAAATAATGACGGAAAAATGACTGAAAAATAAAGCTGTTTTTTTTTCATGAAATGAAGCTTAGCAGGCCAGAGAGAGAGAGAGGTCAGTACAAAGGCAAAGCCATGACAGTGCAATGCAAAAATCGAGACGTTACGGAGCAAGTGATTCAGAAGGATACAAAAAACACAACTGTATGGCAGTCACCCTCTTCCACACAATCAGATTTTGCCCTGCAAGTTGCACCTTACAATGCGTCTTTAAAACCCTCCATCTCGCCCTGTCCTTCCCATTCAACCCCAAAAGCTAAACACTACTCATCACTTCACTTCAGACTTTGATCTCCCAGCCATGGCTGCTTCCACCAAGCTCTGTGCCACCGTGCTGGTGTTCTATCTCCTTGCCTTCCCAACCTCCACCGAAGCTTGTGGGTCATGCAAGCCTCCCAAGCCCAAGCCCTGTCCGACTCCAGCGCCGGCCAAGTGCCCGACGGACGCGCTGAAGCTAGCGGCGTGTGCTGACGTTCTGGGCCTTGTAAACGTCGTCGTTGGGTCTGCTCCTACCAGCAAGTGTTGCCCGTTGCTGGAAGGTTTGGTAGATTTGGAGGCTGCGCTCTGCCTCTGTACTGCCATTAAGGCCAACGTGCTTGGCATCAACTTGAACGTACCCCTCAGCCTCAGCTTGATTCTTAGCTCGTGTCAAAAATCTGTTCCTACTGGTTTCCAATGTCCCTAGAAGAGTGACGCTGGGATCGGATCGATCCATCTTACACTTTCTTATTTGGCTCCTTGTCTGTGTTTTGTTTGGCCTTCATACTTATTATTATTCCTATGTTTGATACTGTCATAGTGATGATATATTAACCAGCAAGTTTAGTTAATTTGCCTGTTATGAGTCTTTTTCGTTCTTGATTAATAACAAGGCAAGCCCTTTTTCCTTTCATTGTAAGCTGTAGCCTTGCTTGCTCGTTTTCTAGTGGAACTTATCAATGTCACCGACGGGTTCCGCGGATGATTTTTTGAATGTTGTACCCTGTGGTGACATGGCTAATTGACGGCATCGAATTATTGATCCAGTCTTAAGTAATTAGAATAATTTGTGTTTATTTATATTTATAAAGTTAACAGAGTTTTCCGCCTCGTTTAAAATTCAGGTGCTCTAAAATATAATTTAAAATAGTTACCTTGATTATGAAATGTTGCTGAATTAGGAGAGACATGGTGAAATGAGGGAGAGTCTAATAGAAGCGTATAGATGAATAATGAAAATAAAATAAAATATGAGTGAAATAAGGCATATCTCATACATTATTGCCCCGCCAGTATAAAGTTGGCTTTTTATGGGGGACTTTTTATATCTATTGCTTGGCAAATAACGTAAAAGGCTAAGGCGGTGATAATTTTATAATTATCAACTTAATAGTTGGACTTTCTACATTGATGTTTTACACAATTAATATAGCCTAGTCAACTAATGTAGAAAATGATTACAATTTAAAAAATCAATCATTTTTTACATCAATTTTAATTATAATTAATATAAAAAGTGATTTCTACATTGATTTTCTGGCAAGGAATTGATGTAAAAAGTCTATTAAATTCCTGCATTTTCTTGCTGCGCTCTCATGGACATCATTTTTCACGATTTCTTGTATATGGATGTTATTTTCTCTTCAATCTTCACAATTTTTCTTGGCCAAAATCACATATCTTCAATATTGTTGATCCTTTGTTCTCATCATCTTCTCAAAATCCTATCTTTCATTTCTCCAAAAATCTCCCTCCCTTTCTTCACCTTCTCCATTTTCATATATACTCGTGTTGGGTTCTTCAGGTGGTTACTTGTGGGTTTGGTGGAAGCACATTGATTATAAGCACTACCTTAAGTTAGTAAGGCAAGCTTGCTTAATCTTATTCATACCCTCTAATCTCTTCTTTAAGCTAATTTTTTTAGAGCTTGTGGTTAGGGTTTTTGTTTTTTCAAATACTCAATCACTGGGTCCGAATTTTGTGATAATTTTGGGGTTAAATTCATGTTATTTAGGTTATTTTGGGGGTGATTATGACAACGGGGAGCTTAAATCCAAAAGCGTAGACTAAGTGGATAAATTTTAATGATAATCTGAGGTTGTAAAAGCTAAATAAGTGATATGTAAGTGTAATGATAATTAAGTTTAAGGATTTAGATAAATTTAACAATGTTGGCTAAATAATGGCATGTGCATGCTACTGACTTAACAATGTAAAAAATCATGCTTGAATTTAAATTTAATAGTGCTGTCTTGTGATTTCAATATATATCACTTTTAAATATTCATATGAATTTGAAAATATATATTCTATATATACTCTTTGATCTTATGTTTGTTTTTCTTTCATTTTCAAGACTTGAAGAAAATCATCATCTTCAAATCAATTATATTTATGTTCCAGTGCCAATAAATATATGCAATGACAAACATGTCATTCTTAAGATCACTAGCTGAAGTGGAGTTTTTTTAGAATCTACTATTTTATACTAGTTCAAAATTATTCAATTAATTTTTTTTCTAAATATATAGTCACTAACTTCACGATCTTACTTATGCATATAGCAATGATAACATATCAAAATATTGTCCTTAAAAGTCATGCGCACAAATTCGAGGATCCCACGTGAATTAGGTTAAAGGTAAATGAGTTTAACACTTTATGAACTTATTTAATTATTTCTTATCAGTTGATTATGGCATGTTCTTATACAAAGCCATAAATAAACAATGAAGACTAACTTATGCAACCTTTATAGAGAGATTGTATGTTTAGATAGGTTTGGACAATTTTAATAAGTTTGTTGGTTTTAAAAATTTTTTGAATACCTTGTGGACATAATTGTGATAATTTTAATTGCTTGTAAATAAATTATGTTGAATAATTGATAGTTTTAAATAATTAAAATAGGTTATATTGTCTAGATGAAAATTTCACATGAATTGTACTGTGTGATTAGTAACTTTCATATATAAATTAAAGATGGGGTAATATATAAACATGTATGTTGCGTTATAAAAAAAATTATTTTTTTATTGGTTGTAACCATAACCAATGTAAAAAAGTTTCTTACGTTGATTGTGATTATGACTAATGTAGAAAGCAAGGCATTAATTTATTTTTTAAAAGATTAACCAACTTTCTTAATATAAAAAAAACTTTTTTGCATCAATTAGTCAGGGGCTTTCTAGACCCCCTTTAACACTATTTTCGTGTGATTTAATGTAAAAAGCTTTTTTTAATCACTATAAAAAAACATTTTTTATATAGTATTCACTACGTCATCCTCTGGTTTTTGTCAAGTTTCAATGACACTATGCATTATTCTGCTCATTGAACTATCGGACTTGAGGTTTTATATCAATAATAGGATCGGAAGCCATGTCCTCAGAGGATGCTTCTTCGATGCTTAGTGACCGATGCGCTCATCACGCGGGAAAAAATCTGGCCCCTAATTTTTTCAATTTCAATTTTATATTTATAAAAATAAAAATTTATAATTTTTTTACAAATATATTCATCATTAACCCAGATAGTGTTAATTTAATCCCAGTAATTCAATTTAATGTTATAATTTTCATAAACTGATTATCTAGATGTAGTCTGAACAGTATATATTCAATATTAAAATTTTTTTTGTAAGGTCTAGATTCAAAGTTTTTATTTTAATTTTTATTTTAAATTTATTAAAATGAAAAATTTATTAAAAAATTTTACACTGAATATGTTTTGTTTAGAGTATATTTAGATAGTCAATTTATGAAAATTATAACATTAATTGAACCATCCAAAGTCTCATATTAAATCAGTACTTTTTAAATCGATGATGAATATATCTATAAAAAATTTGATGAATTTTGTTTTTATAAAATACAAAATTGAAATTGAAAAAATTTGTGCTCCAAATTTGTTTTTTTGGGTGATGAGCAACGAAGATGGACTCTGTCTTTAGACGCTGAAGACCATGGAGTTGCATTTCAGTTGATGAGTATGTGGGCAGACTATGTTCAGTCAAAAAAAGAAGAAGAAGAAGAAGAAGTATTTATGGGTTGTTTGATTCTATTTTCCTTTCTATATCAGTAATTTTATAGAATAGTTTTTTAGGATGACTTTTGGAAATAAAAAGATTAAATTGAATCATTATTTTGAAAAACATGTCTAGATTTATGAGAAAAATGGTGAAAGAATAATTTATTTTATTATTGTCATCATTATTAATGAAAACTTAATATTTTTTGCTTTTTCTCTAATTTTGTAAAATAAAAAGTAACAAAACATTTAAAAAATTATTCTAATTATTTTATTTTTTTCAGAATAACTTTTACTTTTTTAAACATATTTTTTTTATCTTTTATTTTTTAAAACAAAAGACTATTCTAAAAACAAGTAATAAAAGATGCTGTTAGTGTCTACCTTTGGATGGTCTTCACAAGTATGCATATTCCCTCTTAGGCTCAAGGGCCCAAGCTTCAATATACGAATGTATACACATGTTTTTTTTTCAAAAAAAAAAAATCTTGGCTTCAAAGTTTTAGTTTAAAATGCACAGTTATAGCTTTCATTTTGTTAATGGGACATTGCAGGTCAGTTTCAGCCCAGGCCTGGAGAGTGTGTGTGTGTGTGTTTTATGCTTTTACAATTGCTTTAAAACTCAATAGCATGGAACCCAGATATAAAGGAAATAACATGCACACAAATAAAAACAGAAGAAAAAGAAAGGCTAGAATTCAATATTTTTAAAATGGAAATTTTCCGTAGAGACAGAGCCCGCAAGAGCAATTGACTTTATCAGAGTCGTTTCATCACGTTTAGCAGCAATCAGTTAATGTCAAGAGTTGGGCAAACTTTCGGCCAGAAAAAATAAGGAGAAAGCTCAAATTTCTAGAACGATGCGGCGCATACTCACGTGTATATTCGTTAAGTCATAACCGTCACATGTAAAAGCCGATTACCGCAGGTTATGTTAATTGACATCATCGTCATTATTATCGAGTTAGCCAGCCTCAGTATTTCAAAAAACATAATCCGATTGATGATGCCAGGGGAAAATTTTTTCACACTTTAATTTTATTTATAAGTTATTTTTAATATTTTTATCAAAGTAAAAAAAAAACTTAAACCTTACAAATTTTATTTAAAAATTTAATAAAATTTTAACTTTACCTCTATTCAATATACCTACTTTAAAATAAAATAATTTATCATTTAATAAACATTTCTATATTTAATAGGAATAAAATGGTAAAGATAAATATAATAATTATTGATATATTTTATAAATAGGGTCAATATAAACATTTTCACTCTCTTCTAGAAATAGAATTGGAGGAATCGCTCATGACAAGACATGATTTTTGAATAAATGTGATTTATTTTAAATTTTGACACCTGATAAATTTAAAAGTAAATAGTAACTGATTTATCAATAAGACGAAGCACAAGAAAGTTGATAACTTTTTAGCAATTCGAATTCAAATATTGTAAATTAAACAAAAAACATGTTAGAATTTTTTTTTTAGCCGAAATGTTAGAAAAAATATCTCTATCTGAGCCCGAATGAATATAGTTCAATAATAATGAATATTAAATGGATATAAAAAAGATAAAAAGAGAACTTGTTTTGTGTCGCTGAAAGAATCTGCCTATAGCAAAAATAGTGGCCACTCAAACAAACAAATGTGTATTGATTTCAAATGTTTATTTTTTCCCCTTGAAAAAAAAAAAAACAATGTTTACTTGCCCCATCACACATTTTTCCCCCTCACATGTATCCGCCTTTCTGTGTGTAAAAGCTTTGTGGTGTTAATGTAGAGTGAGAGTAGTAGGTGCAAGTTAATTTAACAAAGTGGCTTTAGTCCAATTTGATCCGACATGCTTTGGCATTTTATGGGTGGCAATACACACGGACTTGACATTTTCACCCAGGGCAGCCATTTAACCTCACCTTTTGTTTTGTTTTGCTTTTTTTCTATTTTTTTAGTTCTCATATGTATTCTGCAAACATCTCAATCTTCCTCCGGATTTTTTTTTTAATCATGAATTGTTTGCTTCTAATGTATAATGATAGACAAGTGAGCTTTTTTCTTCCCCCGACAATAAGGCAACTTTAATTGAGAAATAAAAGCTACAAAGTCAAAACAAGATAAAAAGACACCAATGTCCTTTTATTTTTGGTAAAAAATTTTTTTTCTGGCGGTCACTTTATTTTTATTTTTATAGTTTCCCTTGGTATTAATTACAAACCGGCTATATAATCCAAATTCAAAAGTCATCGTAAAGTAATAAATGAGTTTAATACGTGGTCTAACTTCTTTGCTTATTTCAGATCGAAAAACTTCTTTGCTTGCGTGGACGCAGAAAAACACTTCACATGCCTTCATTTTTAAAATCAGCGTGGATCAATGAGCCGCTTAGTTTGTGTGGACCACAACTTGATAAAATGTTTATGTCACACAGGCATGTATTTAAATAGCCTCATTAAATCAAACTATTTAAAAAGTAACAGTGCCACAAAATAATGTCACATTGTACATGAGCTATAGAATGCGTATATTTTCTATTTATTATTTCCAGGCGTACTATATGTAATTAAACATCCCAAGTGAAATTTCTAGTATAAATTTATGTTTATTCAAGCGTTTTTTAATACGAGGTCTAGTAATATCGAGTTATATTCTTAATATTATCTTTTAACCTTTTTACTAACAACATATCGAATTATGTATCTGAAGATTGGCAAATCTATTAGAAATAGCTCTCCCAAATGTAATTTATTTTATTTTCGCAAAATTTAAACGCTTGATTTTATTTAAAAGATCATCAAGTTCATGTTCATATTATATAAATAATTTCCTTGCATATGTTTTAAGCAATGCTTAGTAAATTCATAATAATTAGATTAGATTATATGTTGATATGAGATATAAATCAAAATTAAAATAAAAAAACTCAAAGTTGAGATTTTTTTTAATCATTAAATCGAATCAATATATCAGATCGTATCAAATCACTAAATCGAGACTAGATATAGGATATATATTTTGAAATCACTAATCATTAAATCAATTAATATTTTAGATTATGCACCCAAAAAAAGGAATTAAGAAAGGCACGGTGACTGCTATTTTTGAGGTGCACGGTAAAATTATTACCATCAGTATTGCTATCTTTATTTTCCATTGCTACATATATTTATTTAAGAGGTTCACCAATCCACACCCATGCTCCATGGTCCTTCACCCACTTCTCTCTCTCTCTCTCTCTACACGACTGTTCATGAATGGTCTTCTTCGTGATCTTCCACAGCTTTCTTGAACTGTGTTTGTAAAGGCTTCATGCAAACGGAATTTCCACCAACCACAATTCAAGAAAGCTGTGGAAAACCGCTGAGATGATCTGCATCGTCACCTGTACTCTCTCACAGTACTATCAACCAATACATCAGGTTTCATAACTTTTCTGGCCCGTGGTTTAATTCGTTGTCCAGATATGACAATTGATTTGTCTCAATCTCTTCCTCCTATTTTTCTTGCAGCAGAATTTTCGTTTTGGAGGTGCTGTCGCAGCACACAGAGCTAACGAAGGGACCGCCGTTTGTCTTCTTTCTTGAGAACATCACCACATATTCATGCAGGTTCCGGTGACGAAATACCAGATCTCTTCCGTCTGCTCCGATCTGGAAACTGAGCTAACCGACGCTTACGGTTACATTTCGCTGTAGCTACTGGATGCATTATCGAACAACTCCAACAAAAGTAAATCTGATATATACTCTGCTATGATCTCTTTTTTATTACCTCTTGTGGCCCTTAATTCTCAACTCCAATAGGTTCTGTGCCTTTTCACGCATTTGATGTTTTCGGTTCTTCTGAGCAGCATCCTTGAAACTGCCCAGTTTGGTAAAAGAGACACGCAGGCGTGACGCACATGAAGGTGAAAATTTTCGACATTAGTTGAAGCGGAGGCTTCGTTTTTCCTCTGGAGCAGAAAAGAAATTGTACGTTACCAGTGCCGCTCGTTGTCAATACGTACAAGCAAGCTTCACCCTCACCCTCTCCTCCCTTCTTTCTTTTTTTGTTTTAATGTTTAATTCTTCCGTATTCTGATTTTCTCTCCTTCAATACAAGATAGCTCCTTCTTTTCATGATCCAAATTTATGGGATTTTCTCATGACAATGCTGAAATAAATCAAGTAATCAAGAATCATTTGAATTACTGGACAGAATAAATCCACGTTGTGTGATTTTTTCTTCTTCTTTGTTTTGCAGACAATCATTAGCCCATCCCTTCATAGCAGAAAGGCGCACAACTTGTTTCCTTTTTTCTTCAACGGCGGTTGCTAGTGACAGGCCACCACTGTCCACTGTGGCGTGATGAGGTGCTTTGGCTCAAGGGTGCAGGCGGCATGTGGTCTTGTCTAGAGACGCTCCTGTGTTAATTCTCATATCTTTAGAACTCTGTCTCTCAACCCAAAGTCATTGGGAGGGGAAAATTTGCTATATTCCTCGTGTCGTGAACCATATGTAATTTGATTCGGAATTGTATGATTCCATTATTATGTCACAAGTTTCGCTGGGTTCATGTGAAAATTGAATCTAAAAATCTCAGTTCTTTAGCTTCCCTCACAAGTCTAATAATTAAATGCTCCGTAGATTGCAGAAAGCAACAAAGTAATAGCAAAGTTTGACAACGATGAAGCGTAACGTAACAATTAATAACTTGCAGTGGGCATGTAGTCTGGAGTCTGGACCCTGGACCATCTCTTCCTCATAGAGTTATACGGGAGAATGCATCATTCCTTTCGATCCCCACTATTTTTCTCTTTTGGCCTAATGGAAAAAAACAAGTTACATTACACGTTAATAGTTGAAGTTGAAACGGAATACAGAAAAAGGAACTTTAGGACTGTTAGTGGAAGGTGACGACGCAAGTCGATTTGACTTCATCAATGAGATTCTACCTGTAAAATTCGTATGCCATTGATCCCAAAATAACAATAAACCAATTATTTTTCACATTGTTGGACCACTTGAGCAGCTTGCTGAATCATTGTTCCGGTGCCTGTCGGTTTTCTCCACCTTTATAAATGGTTACCAATTGTTAATCCAACAACGCAAAGTGGTTGCCGATTGAACCCAAAAATTAGGCCCATTAATGTTCTTAAAAGTATTGGGCCCATGGTATGCCTGCCGTGCCTTCGTTTAGTGAAGCCCAGGTCTATCCCAAAACGGGACCAAGTAGGGGGAAAAAAAAAAGAGGAAAAAGCCAAAAACAAAAACCGAAATTGTGGGATGCGACGTCGGAATGGCTCGCTGTCGTTGATTCTGGGTCTTCCTTGGCTAAACGTGAAGCTCAATGCGATTGCAGAAGAAGACAGGTAGGTGTGACTGTTCTTCCTGCAATAGCATCAAAACAAAGCTTAGAATCCACAGTGACCCTAAGATTTCACGCGTGCTACGCTCTCGTGGCTTCTCTTAGTCTGTTTAATTTTCCCCGTGCGCGGTGCCCTGTGGTTGAAGGTGCGGATGCCACCTGGCTCCGCTGGCTCTCCGATCCGATCGCTTAAACCCTAGCTTGTGCTGCCGCTTTCACTCTCATCACAATTCCATCCGGGGAGCTCTTGTGAGTCTGTGATGTTATGGTTATGAAATTATAAGAAGAGAACGCAAATTCTGGCGGCAAGGGAACAATATGCTGCGTCAGAGTCCTCCCAAGCACAGGCACGATGGGACTTCGCCGCTGCCCCTCGGAATGGACTGGAGTCCTCCACCACGGAATTGGGTCAGTTCTGTTTTGTTTCGCAGTTATCTTAATCATATCTTAATGCTGACGATGACACGAAATCGGATGTCTCAGTTCCTTAAGTCACTATAATCTTTGTGCGCAATCATAATTTGATCTCTTTCACTACTTTCTAGCCAATCTGCGCTCTTTATTGATGCCAATCAGGTCTCTTTTAGTATTCTGGTTAATCTTCTCTCTTTATTGAAGCCAATCAGGCCTCTTTTGGAATTAGTGATTTGAGTTACTTAATCGCTTGCTGGGTATTTATTAGCCTGATTCAATTGCGACTTCTTCACTTCCTTCCACCTGATTCCTAAATTTTAAATCTGCGGGACACGTGCGATCTTGCTGAATCGTGTCTCTTGAGCATATTTGGTATGAATGAATATAGTTGAATATACAGGGTTTGTCGAGAAGTGCGAGCCAGGCTGCGGCGTTTTTATGACGGTGGTAATGATTGCTTCTTTGTTATTCGGAGTCCTTATTGTTGCTCACAGAAGCTGTCGGGTTAATTTGGTACCTCTTGTTCTTGTTTAACATGGTGTTTGGACTTGCAACAATGCCATTCTTCATTTACTTGTTGAGGGAGGAATATTGCAGAAGGCTGAAGCAGCTATCTCTTATTTACTTCTTACATTTCTCTATTACAAACTCTCCGTGCCATTTGAGCACGACTTTCATATTTTACTAAATGAAGAAATTTCAGAAAGCATTGGATTGTTGTGTTAGAACGATTTCAAAGAGGAAGGCGCTTTGATAATGCTTGAAATATTCCACGACCGGAGAGGAGCTGTGCAGAGAAGTGTTTTTTGTATATTATGAGAAGGTCTATAAATTATATAGTTGTAGTTTTCTTCTTTTCCTCTATTCAATTTGAAGGAGGTACTCTATTTTGGGGAAACATAAGAATATTTCCATTAGTATAGGCGCTGGCTTTTTATCATTACTTTTTCGGTTTTTGCAACTTTGTGACGTGTCTTCTTTGTTCACTATTGGTATGTTCTCTCTGGGTTCATAAGCTAATCCTATGCTTGCTTTTCCTTATCCAGTTATTGTCTGATAGGCAATAGCTTATATGTTTATGACTGTCTTTAGAAATTTGTTTACATATTGTTATCTTATCAGCTTTTTATTGACAAGCTTCCTTTCATACAGAATGGACGGGATACAGTATGGCCACATAGTCATCGTACAGGTTGGAGTTATTGTGTCACGATACCTTCTTGGGTCTTTCTTCCAAAATCAAGAAATTCAGATCCCATTGTGGTACTTAGGCTGATCAATGCTCCTTTATATTCATGACCAAAGTTACTGATTTGTAATATTCTGCCTATTCATGGTATGTCATGGAATATTATCATCTTTGTAAGTATGCACTTTTAACATCGTTAGGGACAGTTTTACAGGGTTCAAATTGGTCTACAATCCCCAGAAGGTATCACAACACTACATGGAGTACTAAGAAGGTTCAATGATTTTTTAAAGTTGTTTTCAGATGTAAGTTTTTGCCTTTTCAACTGCATCTTAGTATATCAGTTATTCCCCCTTAATTGAATGAGTTAGTAGTTAATTTGACCCTGATTCAGACAACTTAGTTGTCAAAGCAAACTCTAGTTTATATGAAGACTTTATATGTATTGGTGTCTGTTTAAGTTATACTGATTTGTAGACATCTGTTTTGCTATTATCTATCTTTGTAGCTTAAAAAGGAGTTTCCCAGGAAAAACATTCCTTCAGCTCCACCCAAAGGACTCGTACGATTGAAAAGCCGAGCATTGTTGGAAGAGGTAATGTAATTCTTTGGCGTTATGGATCTGCAAGTGGCATTCTTGAATTGTCTTAAGTGTCTATACTTTTTTATAGAAATAGGAAACAATAAAGAACGTTATGCTTGTAATTAGTCTTACTTTTGGTCACTATTAAAGCTGGAAATTTATGGAATATTAAAAGGTGCGAGTATGGTGTTTCTGAGGGGTCTGCTCTCTGCTCTTCTAGTTTATCTGTCCAGTTTCTTAATTTAGTATTCTTGTTTATTGCAATCAATACAAGGCACTATAGAAGCTTACTGGTTCTTTGTTTTTGTTACTTCATTATCTTGTGATTAGATAGTGGCACATAAATCTATGCGCAATTTTAAAGATGAAGTAGTCATTATTAAAGTGGAGGGAGAGAAATGCCTTATATGATGTCAATTGATTTTATTTTAATTCATACGCCTGTATAACTATAATTTTAGAGAGTTGGTTGAGGTAGAAGACCAAGATGTGATATTCAAGGAAGGTATTAAACAGGGCCTATTGGTATATGACATGTCAGAAGAATTGGTTGTTGTTGGAGTATGATAGCATGATGCAATATTGTAACTGACTGCACTTTACAGGATAAGGCTTGTTATTATTGTATAATTATAATTCTGTCAGAATATTTTTGGAACTTTAGCTACTGACGGTGGATGGAAAAAAATCACCTTCTTGTATATATTAAAGGCGAGGTTCCTTGATTGAATATTATAAAACATTGTTTATACTTTAGAAAGTAATATCTAATCAACTGTGCCAGTGGTTCCATCTAATTTCTTTGACCCCATTCATATTTTTCTAGTAATCTCATATTGAGCTAATGATTGATTGTGGATGCAAGAGTTATGTAGGTAGTATTATTATTTTTACTTTTTATCATGTAAATGACTAACACGTTGCATTGCATTCGCTATAGAGAAGGTGCTCTTTGGAGGAGTGGATCACCAAACTTTTGTCAGACATTGATGTATCTAGATGTGCTGCAGTGGCATCCTTTCTTGAATTAGAGGCTGCTGCTAGAGCTTGTATGCGCCTTCCTATTGCATCTTGCATTTATTGTGCCTAAGACATGTAAAGTTTGCCTATTTTATACCAACTTTAGTGAATGGGCAGTATATTTTAACCTCAAGAATTGTAGTTATAGGTTTTTTCCTGGTTCATTTCTTCTTAGCTTTGTGAAATTTTTGACATGGTATACCTCATTGAAACATTTTTCAGCTTTTCAAGATTCAAATCAGCAGAATTTAGAATCAGATCCTGCTTCCAATAATACAGCTTATTCTGTGCAATCACCTCTCCATTCAAACCTATCGTTAGGTGCTGGCAGTTCATCTATTGCGTCAGATTATGGTAGTGATACTGCATATGAGCCATCTGAACTTGGAACACCAGGAGTTGGGCTGGATGATAATTCTGAAGTTGGCACAGATGATTTAACATTAGATGAAGATGTGACAAGTCCAATAGAAAAGCTTGTCAAGTATGGTATATCGAATATTGATGAGGGTTTGTTTATGGGTCAGACTATTTTAGAGCAACTGGAAGGCCTTCCTAAGCATAAAGTAAATGCCAGACATTTCAGCTATGCTGCAGAGAGCAAAAATAATGGAAATGCTTTTAATGCTTCACATTTGTCTAAAAGCCCAATGGAGCTTTTCTCTGAACCTGAGCATGCTAAGGTTATTGGTCATGTTCGCAAGCTTTCAAATGAGAGTGTGGGAAGTGATGGAAGCTCTTTGAGAGGTGGTGACTTTTCTGCTACTGGAATTCCAAATGGCTCTGTTGACCTTCCTGGAAATGCTATGGAGTCCAGAACACCAGATATAGGTCATGCAGAGACGCACTCTACTGGTGATGCTCAAGTTGTCCTTCCACTAGATCAGCGCCATAAATTAAATAGGATTCTTTTAACCATGCAGCGAAGGCTAGTTACTGCAAAAACTGACATGGAGGACCTTATAGTTAGATTAAATCAAGAAATAGCTGCCAAGGATTTTCTCGCTACCAAGGTTTGTATTGCATGCATTTCCTTGTGCATAACTTCTCATCTACCACTATTTTACCGAAGATGAGAAAGGTCAAAGTGCATTTGTTGTAATTTGTAAATAAATGCATCTATGATCATCAGAGCCCTACACAATTTTTGAGTTTCACTACATATAAAATCTCAAACTTCATTACACGACCACAACTGATTGGTATTTTCAGGTCAAGGATTTGGAAGTAGAACTTGAAGCTACTAAACAGAAGAGTAAAGAAAATTTGCAACAGGCTATTCTGATTGAGAGGGAAAGGTTTACCCAAATGCAGTGGGATATGGAGGAGCTTCGTCGAAAGTCATTGGAAACGGAGATGAAACTAAAGTCTGAAGTGGTATTGGAATTTGTTTTATGGATATCAAACGTTTCTTTTAGTCACATTTCTTGCATGATAATAAAATCATATGATACAATACCCAGGGTGAAAACTCATGTGAGAGTTCAACCAAGGAATCAGTTGTTCAGGAGAAAGAAGAACTGTTTCAGACTTTGAATGCTACTAAAGATCAGCTGGAAATTTTGTCGAAACAGTATAATGAGCTAGAAGCAAAATCTAAAGCTGATGTTAAGGTCCTGGTTAAAGAGGTCAAATCTCTCCGAAATTCCCAATCAGAATTGAAGAGGGAGCTTAGTGAGTCAATAAAGGAAAAGCGCGAAACTGAGGTATGTTATCATCTTCAGTTTGGATATTTCTCTAGTTTTCCCACCCCCTTTTTCTGCAAGATTTCACACATTTTAGCCTTTATGTATTTTTTGTGTATAATTTATTGAGAGAAGTACATCATGTTTCGAGCTTGAGTTTTTCTTCATTTTCCCAGACTCCACTTGGTTAAAATCCTTTTTGTTTCATATGAATCCATTTTGAATGGCATGCATGATGATGATTTTCGTGTGTATTTACTGTCCAGAAATTTCTTCAATATGAAATAGATAAGAGGGAACATGCCGAATCTGCTTCAAGAAATCTGATGCAGAAATGCAGGCTTCTGCTCAGCCAGCTTCAACAGTGCAACATCACTTTTCCTGCAGAATATCGAGATAAAATTACAATGAACTCGTCATCTTTAGAAGAGACTGCAAACCAGTTAGCATTATCTGATGATCGAATTGGCATCCTACTAGCGGAGGTAGAAGTTATTTTCCATTGACCACTCAATGGTCTTTCGCCAGTTACAATTGAGTTGGGCTGTAATTATCTTTTAATACAATGAACTTAGAGATGCGATCTCTTTTTCGTTGCCCTTTACTTCCCATTATAATTATAGGCTTTTCATTTAAATTTGATCAGGTAGAAAATTTAGGGAAGGACGGGGGAATCGCTGCGTCTGAAGCAGATAAAATCGATGACATAAAAGATGGTGTCATCTATGATGATGAATTGGAAAAGATCATAGCAGATTTATTCATCGACAATGCTAGATTGAGAAAAAAGGTGAACTATATTACAAGGTATGCTCTCAAATTGGACACGTCAGCAAGTGATGATTCTCCTGTGGACACTGAAAGTAATAATGTGAACTGAGCTGCTGTATATTATTATTATTTTTGCTCACTGTGTCTGTTTCTCATCCTGGTCTATCATCATATATAAGTCAATCTTGCTGAATGCAGCATATCCCCCTCAGCGTACTTTCTAATGTACAAGCTTTTGATCCGCGGTATGCACACATACGAGCCCTTTACCTTGCACGACACTTTTTGTAAACCTCACACCTCAAATAACAGAACTAGAACTCTATTGAGATAAATGTTCTATTGTATCTTCTCTCTCTCCCCCTCTCTTTCTCACCCCCTCTCTCTCAAAAACACTCACGCTCGCATGTGTTTGGGTTTGATGTGATGCACTTGCCGTCATTTGACATTTTATTGAGGGTAGAATTTGACAGATAATGGCTTTTCTTTTTTTCACGGGTTTAAGGGTTTTAGATGCAATTGCATTTGTAGTTTGGTAAATTGTTTATAGGCATTTGCGTGTCAACTTGATTCTGAACTGCTTAGTAAATCTGACTTATGGGCATAGTCAGAGATGAAATACCAGTGTGCGAGAAGAAAAGGAGCAACTATTTTTTAGGTGCATTCATATTATGCATCCCCTCTGAGGTCCACACTTTTTTGGTATTCTCTATTTTTACTTTGCGGACCGTTCATGCAAATGTCTGCGTTCTTTCAGCGTTTATCATTTCAAAACCAGCAACGTTGATTGAGTTCTGAACACCCCCCCCCCCCCCGGCGGGGGTAAGTGAAGGTTAAACTAGATTTATCAATTATTTGGTTACGGCGATGCAAATCGCTGGCGAATATATTAGTTTCACATCGTGGCTGTTGAGGAAAACAAAAACGCGAAGAGAGTGCGAAGGAACCATCGTCGTCGTATTCATACTTGGTCCTATTTTCGTTAATTTTAATGACAAGTTGAACCGAATCTCTTGGTTCAGACGGCCTAATTCTACCAATCGAGTTAAGTGTCATCATTGGTTGCTATATTTAATTCCATTCCAGGGATTGTAAAATACTTTGAATAATCATATCCGTCAATTTCCGTTAGCGTGTTTTTTTTTTTAAGGGAAACAAAAGTGCTTATCCTATAGCATGCTTTCTGTTAGGTCCGAGTCTTTTTGAAAAAAATAAAAAAATGTTTTTGTCCACAGCTTTCAGTCCGAGACTGGCACATGAGAAGGGATGTAAAATGATAAGAACGTTGGAGAAAAAATTCAACGCTGGATTAATGGTTGTAAGATGGTGGATGCATGAGAATTATAACTAACAAGAAAGAAAACTGAGAAGCACAGCGATACAATTTTCAATTGGCAGTCCATTCAGGTGAGAACTGGTAGGAGGAGCACATCATCACCTTTCTCCTCAAACACTCATCCTTTTTTACGTCAGCAGAAACAGAACTGCAATCACATCTGCGTCACAAAACAATGTGCTCAAACTTTAGACCCTTCCCCTGTTCATGCATTTTTTCGAACTTTTATTTGTTCATTGTCTCTGGATATATTGGCGTACGTACGTACCTCAAACAATCATCTATTTCACGTGGCTCCACAAGCACATATAATGGTTTCCCATTAAGCCTGCAATGTCCCTGCAGTAACAAACGGCTCAATTAATTGACATTTTCCATTCATATTATCTCTGGATTTCAATCACAGAAGCCACAGCGTGTAGCTGAAAAACAACAGGCAAGAGTTCAAAGGTAGTTTAGGCTTTTACCTTCACCTCAGGCACACCAATGACACAAGCACACTCAACCACTTCAGCACCAGCACGTTCTACAGTGCGTACAATATATCAGGTTGGGAAAAAAAGAACAATATTGGAATGTAATTGAAACGAGTAATGTAGAACAGAAAACAGGAAATCTTGCCCAGAAGCATTATTGCGGCTGAGAGAGTTCCACCGGTGGCCACCATATCATCAATAATTAAGGTCCGTTCACCAGGCTGGACAGCCCCAACATGCAACTCCAGGCAATCAGTTCCATATTCTAGCTCGTATTTCTCTGAGATCACCTCACCTAGACACCAGCCATTATCATAGTTTAGCTAGGCATCAACTTCAAGTTAGTTTGGTACTTCCAACACGAAAATCTGCTTCTCTTCACTTAATAAGTGTTTGCAATTTTGAATTGTTGGGTTGAATTTGATGGTTTTAAAAATAAAACTTGATTTGAATGGTTAATAACTGTACCTAACGCACAATGAAGAGAAATAAGTTTTTAACACGAGAAATTTGGATAAAACATGCTTCTTGATATATGAGATGACTAGAATGAAGTTGAAGGGTTAAACTGACAGAAATTATAGGCATGCGTTCTCAGGGACCAAAAAGTATAGTTTTTCTTTAAAGTTTAGTAGCAATGTCTAATGTAATTTTCTAGGTAAGCAGGCTTACCGGGAAGTTTTCGAGGTTTGCGTAAAGGAACAAACTTTGCGCCAATGCCCAGCGCAATCGGTGGACCAAACATGAATCCTCTTGCTTCCACTCCTACGTGGAATCCAATATAAGGTAACCCAAATAAAAGCGGGAAAAAAAAAACCTTTATCTTCTATGCAATTGAAGGTAAAAACTCGCATCATTATTTCCCTCTCTCAACATATACAAATTGTTTTAGTATTTGAAAATGAAGAACCAAAGCGAACCGATTGTGTTCGACCAGGAACAACCGTGGATCACTTTATTTCTGTAATGGGGTGCGAATGTTGAAAATCACATAAAATTCGATTCCAAAACTGAACATCATGGGATGAATATAGAAGCATGGTGGTGAAAAAACGGAGAGCAGAGAGGAGAAGAGTGCTGTAGAGTACCGGCAACAACGGAAATGTGCATGTCCCTGTAACGATCGACAAAAATGTCGACCGTGTCTTTGAAGGCCTTGTGATCCAACAACAATGTCGTAATGTCTTGAAACATTATTCCTGCAAACACACCATTTTTTTATTTTTTGAGAGGGGGAGAAGAAAGAATACATACAAAACAGTTTCAGATCTGTTGGATTTGAAGCTCAAAAAGACACTGCAAGACGACTGAAAAAGGAAAAAAAAAAAAAAAAAAAGGCAAGGCCAACAGACACAGGATTTCCTCAAAACCCCAAAAAGTTGGGGGGAAAAGTATTACAGCCTGCGAGACCAAAACCTTAAAGGACATGAGTAAAAGAAAAGGCCTAACCTTGTTTGGGGAAGTGAGGCACCACTCTAATGGCCTGAGATATGGCTTGCAGCCTTGGGTCTCCCTTAAGACCATTCTCTTCGGCAAACATACTGCAATCTCTGTGCCTGTGCGCGCGCTCGCGCTTTGAAAAGAAAATTAAAGGTGGATGCGGTAAGGTCTGGCTCTTAAATTGGGACGAGTCTTGCGTGCTTGTTTTATTTCTATGTATGTGCATAGACACTGTGACAGAGGAAATTTATGTGCAGTAATAGTGTCGAGCAGAGCAGAAAGGAGTACGCAAGACTAGTGAGAATGGCGACGCCATTATAGACCACGTGGATCTCACGGATACGTTTCGATTACGTTGTTTTGAACAAAAACTGAAGATTACAAGTACATGACATTATCTGTTGACGGGAAAGAAAGCAGGAAATTGACAAAATTCGTTTGGTAGTTAAACAAATTAGCAGGGATGCTTAGAATATGGATTAAAATTGACAGTCAAATGATTGACAGTTGAGGGAATGGCAGGGGCGTGGGGGAGACGCGGGAGGAGCGGGGCGTGGGGGTGAGAAAGGGGAGGAGGAAGAGGAAAGAAGCACTGTTGAAGAGCACGCGAGGGATGTACGAAGCGCAAACAAAGAAAGGAATGATAACATAATGATTAAAATCTGTGGAGAGTTTCTCTCTCTGAAAATGGAGAGATGACGAAAGGGTGTGGCATTACAAGGGGGGACCCACGTTAGGCAATTGACTTGCATCATTCCATATCTTCGCCTTTCACTTCACACTCTCTCCTCTATCCCTTATCCCACCCACCACATCAGCTTTTCACCCCTCTCCACACTCCCTCCCTGCTTTCTGCCATTTCAATAAAACGTTCCCAACAATTTTATACGCAAGCCTCCAATCAATTGCTCCCCCTGTATTATAAATGCTTGTTTTAATAGTTTTCAAGATGGAGCTTACCGCACTTGGGAGGCATTGCCACAGTGGTTGCTTGTTTTTTTTTATTAATGAAAAGTTGATTTTGAGCAATCCCACTTATAGAGTGAAAAATAACAGCATGCTTGATTTCTATTTTTATTTTTAAAAACTATTTAATAATATCATTTTAAAAATTATTTTTTAAATAAAATAAAATAAAAATATGTTTAGTTATGTCAATTAAAAAATATTTTTAAAATTAAAAAATAAATTGATAGTGATAACTATAGATAATTAATAATAAAAATTAATCAACGTAACTATAATCTTTAATAATTAGATGTAGTGTATTTTAAAAATAAAAATTAAAAATAATTAAATAAAAAAATACTTATTCAAACAAATTTTTAAATTGTTTTTATTTTTAAAAATAAAAAATAATTTTTAAAAACAGAAAACAAATAAGCCCTAAGCCACGTCTCTCTCCCTACTGACAACATAGTTTTGAATGGCATGGGATTAAGGTCCGGCCCACATTGTGTGCGAGAGGCATTAATGATCGAGGTTTTGAGAATTTGACAGAACATAATGACGAATTATAAGTCAGAATGAATTTGTAAGTTAAAACAGTAATACGCAAAGTCTCAGGGACTTTGACTGTCGCTGAAAGATAAATACTTGATAGTTGGAAATACCTAACAACATACAGTACAATTGTAAATCCTGTTTAGGGAATGTTGAGAGAATTGATCGGTAGATATTAGAATATGAGTTATATATAACCAAAAGTATATCAAAAATAATATTGTAGTAAGTGTGATATGAAATAGGCAAAGACAGTAGGGTTGGTTATAAACAAATATTCTAGATGGTTCGATTGGATGAAAGAAGGCGATGGAGATGGGATTAGGACGGAGGAGCCCACCTAGTGGGAGGGATTAATGATGAAGCTTTTTTACACAGACTAGGGTTGGGAGTGAGGGGGGGACCTCGTACCATGACTTTGAGCCTTTTATATATATATATATATATAAATATAAAATATAAATGTTCACACGCTTATTTATCTTTTTTTTTTTTTAATAAGGATGAGAAAGGTTTTACTTATCTATCTTTTGTTGGAAGAGTGACTATAACATAGAATATAAGACAGTTAGATTTTTGATGAGATTTTAAAAAAAATAAATTATAAATATACATTTAAATAGTTATAAGTACAAATCTTAACTCTGAACTGAGAGTTATAATTTAAATTTTAAATTTAAATATATATTTTTTGTAATTAGAACTTCAAAAATTATAGATGTTTAAATCAATATTTATATTTATACTGTTATACATTCATTATTTTAAAATTTTAATATCATTTCCTCATTTTTTATAAGGAAAGGTAATACACATAATTACACTCATCACACTCACACGTCCGCTTATTCATTATATAGGATATAGCGCCCATAGATTTTTCCTATTAATGAGGTGTGGGTGTGTCATTGATTCCTTATAATCATATTTTTTATTGTTATTTACTCCCTTCAAGCCCATCCGTTTGTTTTAATTTTTAAAAAATGACAGTTAGATCAGAAAAAGGTTGAATTGATTATATTTAGGTTACCGACAAAAAAATTTAAAATATGAATGATAAATATTAATTTAAATAATTATAAATAAAAATTTTTGTTACAATTTAAGAGTTACATTTGATATTTAATCATTTATTTATAATTAAAATTTTTAAACTTATAATTATTTAAATTAATATTTTTAATTTATTTTTTAAAAAATATTATCAAGGGCCAAACTGTTATTCCCTCTTTCAATTTTTTAACTACGTGCTCCCTCCAACCCTATGTCAGTTACTTTTTATAAAAAGATACTGCGTCAATTGGTTTTTTTGTTTTAATTAACTACCACCATTTACAATTTTAAATATTTATACTTTTAAATGAGGGAAAATAAAAAAATTATTTTAAAATTATTTAAATGATATAACTACTTTTTTAATTCAATTGAAATGGTTTAGAAATACACTCTCCGTTTAAAAATATAAGATATTTTTAATCGAATTTCACCCTTTATAAAATAATTACCTATTTTCAACTAACACTATCTTTTCATATTTATTCCTATTAAATATTCTATAATAAATATAAAATTATTATTAATAAAAGTACTTTTAAAAAAAGAATAATGATTACACTTTAAAAAATTAAAAATACCTTATATTTTTTAACATTTAATTTTTTAAAAAATAGTTTATATTTTTAAAAGGAGAGAGTAATATTTATCAGCATGGAATGTTTATCTAATTGCGCCTCCATCTTATTCCCTATCATACCTAATCCTCAACTAAATCTTGCTTTTCACTTTTTAACTCATCACATATGCCTTCTTACCCCCTCCCCTCTTTCTCTATCATTTTCTCAATCAATTGATTAAATGTTTTCGCTTTCATCATTCTACATCTCACAGTGCATCCGATCTTCCTCAAAGCGCAGGTGGCATTTTTTAATACTTTTAGGGCTCACCCTTTAATCTATGTGTGCTGCAAATATCTTGTTTTGATATCGTGGGCATGATCCCACTTCATTTTTTTGCACTTGTTCAAGTTTTATCCATGGCTTCTTCTTTAAAAAATTGATTTCCTGATCACAAACTTGAAAGACAATGATTGAATATGTAAGAATAATTTAGAATATAAAAACATATATATAATAGACAAACCAAGCTAATGAAGGACAGGTGGATCCCAATTAAATAGAATATCGTAGCATGTAATTTTTGTGTAAACATAGTGTCATCGAGGGTCTATCTCTGTCTGATGAAAACAAAAACAATAAACGAAGTGGAAATACTTGATAGTCATTCGCTCTTTCTGTACCGGCACCACTACATGTGTTAGTGCTATCAATATTACTATACTTTTCTTCTTTTTCTAATTTCGGTTATCTCGTGGGCGGACAACATGCACGTATAAAAAAAAAAAGGACGAGGATCTAAACGCAGATATCATGTCAGTGCATTTCCAAAACTTTACGAGTTTAATAGCGTTCATAGTTTGGCTGTTCTTTATTCCTAGTTCTCGTGACACTGTCCTCATTGTTTATGGGTGGGAGATATCTGTACTTTCCACGATAAAATAAAAGGGAACAAACAATGTCACCATCGTCTTTAAAGTTGTGGATAGATTTGAGCGGCTTGGCTTTTCCTTATATCTGCGTCTCTATCTCCCAAAAAATTGATTAATGTTAGACTAGTGATGGATTAATTGGCAAGTGTGTAATAGTTGAGACTTGGGTGGGTGCTGTGCGAGAAGATTATTAATTAGGTATGACGTACGAATAAATCTTAATTTATTAAGATCTGATTGATTCCGTATCTTTCTGAAAGGGATGGATCCTATCTGAGAGAGAGGTGGGCTATCAAGCACATGTGCGCGTCATGTAATGCAATAAAGTTTGATAAGTTTAAGTTTAATTTAATTAGCGCATGATTATGGAGATGATTAGGAATAAACAATCCTACGAGGTGCAATCCCCAGTCCGTTCTTTTTTGTTTGTTTGCGAATTGCGATGAAGGCTCTCCATGTCGGATATTGTACGAACGAATGAATGAGATTATTTTTTTGGATCACGTACATTCAGAAATACGGCATAATGATACGAGAAAATGTAAAGTATGAACGCGATTCACACGCTATGGTTCCATTATTTCTTCATTTCCCCTCATCTCACCGTTGGATACCATATTACAATCAGTCTAGTTTAATTTAAATTATAATTTTAATGACAATAATTCAAATTAGTGTGAGTGGTAGGAATTTTTATTAGTTAAGTTGGTGATTGTTGATTCGAATACCAACATTTATACGTGCGTTAACTTAGCTGACAATGATTATATTTTTTGGTATTTTTATTTTCTTAAAAAATACACGATACAATATATTTAGAATATCTACAAACAGGAATATAAATTTATAAAACATTAAAAAACGTTTTTAATTCAATAAATATTCAAACTAACATACTCATGAGAAATTAATTAAAGATATATCTTAACACCAAGACAAATATGTATTGAAAAAATATCAATTGATATTGGCTTGACACATTAAGTGATTTGAATTAATTGGTGTTTCATATCCATTATCTCCCCCTTCCCCCCTGTTTCACATTTAGTCAGCACACTGTTAGACATGTTGCATCACAACACCCACACCAGACATTTAGCTTCCCATAACATACGCATTCAATTCAGTCATGTAAATTTAGAGAATCTGATTAGTCAGCATATCTCACGAGTCAGCAACATTTACTTTGACGGATTTCGATTGGCTCGCTATGCTCGCCGCAATTGAAGGAGCAGACTTGAATCTCTCTCTCTGTCCCCCCACTCTCTGGGTGAGCTCATGGGCTGCTGGGCGATTGCTGACTTGCTTCCTTGTACGAGTTTCAGTATTGGGGACAACATACCCTGTAGATATTGGCTACGAGTTCCCTAAAAAGCCCAACTAACTAAAATCTCTTTAGGTCTCGGATTGTGGGTCAAGTGGCCTTGGCCCAAATGTATTGAAGATTGTTCCAAGTCATTTTCAGATGAAGATAAGATCAAAAGGATGAGTTTTACACTCCACAGACTCGGGTCAAAAAAAAAAAAAGGACACTCCACAGACCAAACACGGAGACATGGCAAGGTCAAGTGCATCACATGAAACAACTCTTCAACTCAGGACCAACACAACACTGATCAACCTTCGTGAAGATGAAAGAGTGGCACAGTCCCAACTTGCAAACCAGGTAGTCCAAATATTTTGAAGACATATCTGTAATTCGTACTTTTGCTTCTCTTTTTCATTAAAAGTTAGCACTATGATGTTGTTGGTCTCTTGTACAATTAAATTCCAAAATAACTTTTTCTAGCAAGTTGTAAGAAAAACTTCATCCAAAACTACTTTTCCCAGAAGAAAGTCCAGCCCCTTTCTTATTTTATACCGTGAAAACATTTCATTGTTGGACTGACTATTAATCTTCTTGATTATTGCTATTTGCTTCTTACAAGGTAACGTAAGGTCCGCAAAACAAGTTAAATCCGCTATTGCCAGTAACTATTAATAGGATTCATAACATTATTATTATTAATGATAGCATGTTTGAAAAAGATAGAGGGTAGAATGGTAATTTCACATTGATAGATAAAAAAGCAACCGTGAATGTGACATGGGGTTGTGAAGCAGCCTCGAGAGCTATCCACGTGTCTCATGCAACCTCCACATGCTCCAAAACGCTGCAACCAAAAGGATCCGACTGATCCGTGTCTCCTTTGAACTCAAGACCAAAACAACACAACGCAGCCTCTTCATCTTTTTGTAACTATGCTTCCTATTCTGCTGCATCGTTATCATTACCATCATTATTATAACGAAATATGCTAGTGAAACGAGTATCCGGATTTCATTATTTTAATTGACTGAATTAAAACCATTTCATTTAAAATGAAAAAAAAAGACTCGAATAGTTATAGTTTTAATATTAAATATAAATGCATAAATACTTAATCAATATTTTAAAACACTAAACTTTAGGATTGCAAATATTCAAGCAAAATAGTTTATTTATTTATTGGAAGCGGCGAATCTACAGGAATTCGTATATTATTTTGTCACTTTCTGTATCCGTTTCAATTTTCATTTCCAGTATGTTCCGCTCCTCATTACACGTAACAAGTACCTTCGCTACGTTTTCCGGGTTTGAGCTTAACCTGCTTCTGGCGGCGCATCTTAGCCTTCTTCACCCCCTTCTTTCCCTCCATTCCTTTCCTCCCTTTTCAGGTCTCTCAGATTCTCCCTCTCGTCCAGTCGTCCTTCGTCGAAACCGATAATTCTGTTTCTCCCTGTGAACTAGACGAACGCTTAAACTTCACTATTCGATCGGTGATTAACCAGAATGTATGGCTTTCTCTTCCTACACTCGCCTCCGTTTTCCAGCCACTTCTTCTCAACGTCACTCTCAGGTTATCTCTCTACTACTTGCATCCTTATCTCTAGTTGTTTCAGTTTTCAAATCTTCAATTTGAACACTCTTGATGTTTGTCGGAGCTGCTTTAGATATTCAAGTAAAACTCAGAGCTATCAATCCCAGTGAAGTGATTTACTCTTCAGCTCAAATCTTGTTTTATTCATTTCGACATTTTAACTTCACATCCGTGTCTTCGATTTGCGACCAACGAAATTCTGGTGTTAATCAGTTGCGGTCTTAAGCTGGCTAGCCAAATAGAAACAACTATCAATACTTATTGGCATCTCTTTTGCCTTGCCCATGGCTAAATTATACACATCTCTGCTTTTGTTTTGAGAAATATACTTAATCCTCCATCGGTGAGCTCTATAATCACTTCACTTTCCAACATATAAGACCATGTGCTAAATTTCAATGTCGACTTCAACTTTGTCAACATTAGGAGGGTGACTTGAGTTGATTTCATTTAGTGGCCAATACATATAGATCCTCAAGTATGCATATGTTGGTTAAATTAGCAGTTTCAACTTTCATTCGTATTTATCGAATTTGTTTAGCAAGGACGAGAATACATGCGATCTTCCCATACCTAGGGTAAATTTGTTTCCCATAGTTGGCAGATTCTAGTCTAATTTTTTAATCTTTTTGTGTAGGACCTGATAAACTCTGATGATTCTATTTTTTCTCAGAAGTATTTTGTCAGCTTTAGATTTTTTGTTATCTATAATCTTTTGCTCGACAAGCTGTAAATTTTGTTACAGCAAATGCTAACTGAAAGTATCTTTGAGAATTCATAACAAATAACTAATCAGATATTAAAAGAAGCTTGGGCATTTGATTCTAGGGTAAAGGGGAGAAAATATTCAAGAAGTTGTCGGCCAGAAGTATCCAATAGTCTAAAATAAGAAAAAGTGTATGGGTGCCCATGAAGTTGTTTTAATCGGGGTATCTGTGCATGCTTTGGATCTGAAATTTAACGGGTTGGTCGCAGATGCACCGACTAAAATAACTTCACGGGCCCTCGTACACTTTTTTTAACTTTAAACTACTGAATGCTCTTAACCGACAATTTATCGGATACTTTTGCACATTTTTGATTCTGTGGTGACTGGTTTCCCATATGAATGTTTACCTACAACAGTTTAACGTCCTGTGCAGTTGTGCTCTCTTTGGCTCAATTGGAAGCATAGCCCAACAGATCTGGTGTCGATCAGAAATCAAAAAGGCTATTTATTTAAGCCTATTAAATCAGTCTTAAATGATAAAAAGTCAGGCATCAATGATTATGAAGCAGCTGAATCTGCAAGGATCCTTCTCGAAAGGTTGTTCGAGCAGACGCAGAAGCTGGAAGAACAGATGACAGGTGAATTTCATCTTGATCAGGATGGTCAGCTTGGGCTTAACCTTCAGGTCCTGGAGTCAGATCTTCAGGCTGCGCTTACAGCTTTGAAGAAAAAGGAAGAACATCTGCAGGAGGCAGAGAGGGCTGTTTTGTTAGAAAACAGTAAATTAAACCGTACAAAGGAGGAATTGGAGCTACGGGAGAGAGCAATTGCAGCTGCGCATTCAAAGCACGAAAAACTGGAAGAAGAGCTGAAGGAGGCTAATCTTAACTTTGCTTCTCAAGCCAGCCAGATAGAGGATCTAAAGCTCCAGGTTAGAGGGAGAGATCAAAAGATTTCTGCTGTCCAGACTGCACTTTCTCTGAAAGAAGAAGAAATGAAGAGAATGAAGAAGGATTTGGAAAAGAAGATTCAAGAAGCTTCTTATATTGATTCTGAACTTAAATTGAAGGCTCAGCTTCTAAACGAAGCAAATGATGTTATGAGGAAGCAAGAAATTGAACTTCATGAACTCCAGAAAACCATCCAAGAGAAGGAAGTTCAACTACAGGATTCTCGTGATCAAAAGAAACTTGACGAAGAAAAGCTAAAGGCTGCAGAGGCCTCCTTGGAAAAGCAGGCAAGGGAGTGGCTGTTAGCACAGGAAGAACTTAAGAAACTTGGTGAGGAAGCTGCAATACGTGTACAGGAGAGTAATGGAACAGTGGAAGATTTCAAAAGGGTGAAGCTTCTTCTTGATGCGGTAAGGTCTGAATTAGTTTCTTCTCAGGAATCACTGGCATCTTCTAGAAAGAAAATGGAAGAACAAGAGCAACTGTTGGCACAGCAGCTGGCTGAACATGCGGATCAAAGGGAAAGTCTCATTTCATACATGGAAAGTTTAAAACTGGCGCAAATAGAAGTGGATAGTGAGAGAGTGAAACTAAGGGTTGCAGAGGCAGAGAAAAAAGAAATTGAACAGGATTTAGCCATGGAAAAAGAGTTTGTGAAGGAGTTACAGGAAGAACTGAAGAGAGAGAGAGCTTCCCTGAAGCAGGCAGTTCAAGATAAGTCTTTGCTTCAAGAGAGATTGGATCAAAAAGGTATTGAATTCGAAGAAACAACTGCCCTTCTTCATGTAAAAGAGTCAGAGCTCGTGGATGCTAAGCTAGAAATCCAACATTTGAAATCGGAAAAGGCTTCACTTCAGGTTACCTTGAAGGAGAAAGACTTGGAACTTTCTAATGCAAGGAAGATGTTGGAAGACGTAAACCAGGAAATTGCTGATCTAAAGATGCTTCTGGACAGTAAAGAAATCCAGCTTATTCAAGCAACCAATATGCTAAGGGAGAAAGATGAGAGCGTGCTACTTATGCAGAATGAGTTAAATGATACCAAGTTGAAGGCGTCTGAGGCTGAAACTGTGGTAGAGCGAATTCTTGAACTAACAAAGACGCTGGTTGGTTCAATCAAGTTTGAAGATATTAACTCTTTGAGATTGCCGGACGAAATGGGCAAGGAACCACTGCAGCTATTGTTAGAGACACCTACTCATGAATTCAGGTGGCGGCAAAAACAACTTGAGGAAGAGCTTGAATTGACAAAAGAGAGCTTGAAAACAAAGGAAATGGAAGTTCTTGCTGCACAGAGAGCTCTAACAGTAAAAGACGAGGAACTCAAGATGACTCTTGCAAGATTGGACGCAAAAGAGCAACAGTTAAAGGAAGTGAGGGAGGAACTGAATGAGGATGCTAATGACCTGCAACGGCTTTATGCTTTGGCTCAGGAGAGAATTGGCGACAAAAGCATTGGATACTTGGCTATGGAGAAGCTTCAACTTGAGGCAGCACAGCTTGAAGTAGAAGCTGCCACCAATGCTCTTTATAAACTCGCAGAAATGAGTAGGCAACTCTTGAATAAGGCTGGCCTAGGTGCTGAGGCCGATAATCACATATCTGTGTTACCAAATAAATTTGTGATCGATGACATTGAAGTGTTTAGTGAGGTGAAAGCGGGAATTGCTCAGCTCTCAGCCTTGACCGAGGAGCTTGTGAGGGAGGCTGGTATTGTTCCTGTAAACCAGCATCCATAGTGAATGGACTTGGTGTTTAAATTTAAGTCCACTCACTTCGAACGTATGGAGCGATATACAGAGATGTTTGGAGTGATGCACACCATGCCTCTTGATTTAGTCCAGGTCCTGTTGCTTGATTTTGCTACCTGTTGTGTATATTGTCTAGAATAATGTGGATTACTCGTGTCCAATTAGAGTCGGTTTCCTTTATAAGATTTTCAGAGTAGCACAATTCCATTTTTGGCAGCCCAGCAAACCTATGGCCCTACCTTCCAATAACTCTGGAGCAACCGCACCCGCCAACTGTTGGAATGTCATCAATGAGCTATGTTGTGATAGCATCTTATAACGACGAAGGATACCGAGACTTAGTGAACAGATCGATTATCTCATTCTAAAGAACAATACACTAAGATTATCAGCTTCTCATCTGCTTTCTGTCCTGAAGCTCCTCTGGATTACATACAGAACAAGCATTGAGATAAACAACCAAATTGGCCTAATCTCATGCCCTGCATATTGAAACATTCGGGCTAGGGTAAACTATTTCCCAAAAAACAAAATATAGCACACAACATGCATGCAAAATGGTGATCACATTACTAGGAAAACGACAGCACGTCTTGATCCCCACAAAAAATGTTGGCCAGCCAAATTCTCACTAAGCAAAGTTTCCTAAGAATTCAGATTAGCCAGATTATGCATTTTTGACAGATCTGAGCTCAGTTCAGATTCTTCAACTTCTAAAAGACTGCCTTCACTGTAAAAGAGAACCGCTATATAGTAATTGAGCATGTTATTTGCCAATCAGCTTATAGTAGGCGTATGATCCAGAGCCAGCAAAACCGAGAAGTTGCCCAACAACATTCCACTGCAATCAAAACGGAACACCCCCATCATATGACAGAACAGAGAAAGTATAACAGGAGAATACACCCAGCTAGAGCTATCGAGAGCATATTGATCAGAAAAGAGCACTCACAAAATCGAATGGCAGCCCACCAAAAAGCATCCAGCCAAGGCCAATGGTAAACAAATCCTGGACAGAAATATAGTATAAATAAGAATTCACGACAATTCATGGAGATTTTGGGGGGGGGGGATTATTTGATTCGGAACATGTATAGGATAATTTTGTAGAGACGAGATGAGTTTGCATCTAAATTCAATTAAAACCAGCTATCATGATAAATCACAAGTCGCTCAGTATCACAATTAAGGCATCTTGACCAGAGCAAACTTATATTTTAATAATAGTTATCCTTTTTCTTCAATTGTTTGTTTTTTGTATCATGCAATCTATATATCTGACCTCACCTAGTAGAAGAACTGATGCATCAAGCATGGAAGGAAAACCATTCAAATTAGAAACAAACCTTCAGGTTACCACAAATTGTCTGTGTCAGGGCTAAATTCAGAGTTGTGTTCAAAAATATACTGTAATTCAAGAAGAAAGCCAATACGCAGGAAAAGAGTAAAACGACCTGCCCAAACAAAAGAAGCATATTAAAATTACAGCTTGATATGCATAAAGAGGAAAATAGCCATAAAACATGGAAACCAGTTTGATATATTCAGAAGGCCATCGTCCTTTATGATTAAAAATGTAGACCTTTCTAATAGCTGAAAAAACACTCGCACAGGATGAGAAAAAATATATTGCCTTATTTAAAAAAATAAACTAGGATGATGTTGCCATGGTACAGACAGTTAGAGATGCCCAGATAATGGCCAGAGGCAGGATCCCTTCCCCAGCAATAAAAAAAGAGTAAGCTTTACTGATATACTAAACTAAATAAAATTTAACGTGGAAAGAGGAAACTTTAAAGGCGGCAATCTGCGACCAATATTATGCTGCCTATATGTTGGAATATTTGAGGAAAATCACTCAAGAAGCAATCTGCTAAAGGAACAAAACATGGAAGGCAAAGTGCAAACTACTAAATTACATGAGGTGTCATTGTAGTCTGTCACATTATTTACTGTAGACAGAGGATGCCAAATTCTTGGTTAGCTATACAATAATGCGTACTCTATGTTCATATGGCCAATAACCAAGGGTGACTCGCTGATACAATGAAATTGAATGGGAAATAATCTGATAGCAAGCAGCACATACAATGAATCCAGGTGAAAAGAGAGAGGGAAAGTTGATTGCTGTCTTCATATCACCCCGAATTAATGTCCAAATAAGCAAAACTGGTCCACATATTACACCTATAATACAACAGAAGAAGTATTTCAAATCAGAAAAAGAAAATAAATGACCACACTTCCCATGAAGCAGAAAGTATACTGAAAGTTTAGAGGCCATTTCATAAGATCTACCAGCTTACCATTGCACCACATAAGGCCAAAGCTATTAAGGCCACTGGTTTTTCCTGAGAAAAAGCAAAATAACTAACTGTCAAAATAACTAAAAGGATAAAATTCCCACTTTATGAGAAAGAGTGAAAGTAAAGGAATACAACCAACACGGGCTATGGTTGCAAGATATATTGCTGTGCTAATGTTCGACATAAAAACAACAGCATAGCCATAAGCATCAAAAGATAAGTCCCGTGCTCCAGCAATAAATGCACCAAAGACGATCAGGCCAACACTGATAACAACCTTAAAAATTTCAGTCAAACGAAGAAATCAGGGAGATAAACATTCAAAACTGTAGTCTTGATTTTATTGTCTTATAACAAATATGGGGGAGGGATAAGAAAAATAAAGATATAAAAGCAATTAACCAATGGTGTTCTTCTTCATCTGGTCAACAAAAAAAACAACGTTATTCTTCATGGGATGCTTATCAATGAACATGCCATGTCTATCGGCAAGCATACTATACTAAGCCTAAAATAACATAAAATTAAGTGCTAGGTTTACTGCCAAACATGCACAAAAATAATCTCATTTCCATCCATTGCCAATAAATTGATACTCAAAGGAAGCATCCAATGTGTCACACCCCACCATCATTTGGGCATACAAGAACATAAAGCATTAGACAATATCTAAAACCGTCATATGTTAGTAACAAAGATCAATACAATTTGAATGTTAACTTCTATTCTGTCACACAAGCTACTCAATCAATAACACTGGTGAAATATGGCTAGCACTCAACTAAATAAGTATTGCAACAAATCTATTTTGCATCATGTTATAAAGTTCATTAACTAGTTATCTTTATGATCATCATTTATTCTTCTGCTTTGAACATCATGACATAACAATTATTCACTGTTTTGTTAATCTAACAACTTCCAAAAGTTTAATGATTCTTTAGCATATGATTATTTCATTCAGCAAATGCCAAAGGCCAAGGCATTTCTCAATACAACCACTTGCAAAAGAAGGAATCAATTAATAAAGTAGCCAATCGTATTCTTTTCACATTTGAAATATGCATCCACATGCTTAAATGCAACTTTTTAACTTAAATTGTCCTTTTATCATCATCAAGTTTCTAAAAACCTTTTTCCATCACACCTGTCCAAACAATATAGTCCCATGATAAATGATAGGCAAGATCCAAATAACTTGGAAATGAACCTGTATGAGGCAGTTGATTATTTACATTTTACACAACCACAATGAACTTCATTAAATTATATATCTCAGGTGCCTCACCCAAATTTCAGAGTCATAGATTCATTGGAATGAAATATGACAGACTGTAAGTCACGTAATGTGTTCGAGAGAAAGTACTTTACCTGAAAACAACAGAGGATGTATACCTCTGCCCTGCCAGAATATACTCCACAAGCATTGTAAACACCACTGTGGTTCTCCGAAGGGTGGTATACATTGGAACATTTACCCCACGAACAGACTCCATGGTGACTATCTTTCAAGGAGAAATACAAAATTCAATTAAACAAAAGCAAATCAAAAGGAAGAAAATGAACAATGATTAAGGATATGTCCTCAAACAAAGAGAAGGAAGAAAATACCATGTAAAGCAAATAAGTCCCAGCCAAAGGAAGAGTATGCCTCAATGTCTTCAGCGATACAAATTTAGTTGTTGTATCAGAAGATGCCAAAGATTCACCTGCTCTGAAAGAAATTATCCTCCAGCGCTTCAATACATAGAGCAAACAACAAGAGCATACCATCTGCAGGAGGAGGAAGCAAAGATTACGTTTAAAATTTTGAAAAGAGCCAATTAAATTCAAAATGAAAGGCCAGTATGGGAAATGCACTGCATACAGTCCAAACCATTTCAGAATCATAAGTCATATCCATTTCTTTCTACCTCTTATCTAAAGATATGCATATAGAAAACTAGCATTTTGGCTTAATTAAGTTGAATAATCCTTCAAAACTTAGTTCAAGGAACTTCAAAACTTATAATACAGACTCTGCTTAACAATAATGAGCATAAAAGTGTTAGATGAGCAACAGAGAAAGGAGAAGAAATAGAAGACCAAAAATGGAGGAGGAAAAGACAGAGCAAACCAAGAGGAAAAGAAAAAGAAAAAGAAAAAACCACAATAATCAAGAATGAAATTTTGAGGCAGCAGCATTAAATTATATGGCATTCTGTCTTGAGGAAATGAGAAGTTAGGAATAAGGGCCAATAATGGAGTCATTTAACAACCATGAATCATTGTTCAAACAGAGCGCTTTGGATTGTTTATACAACAAATCATATAAAGAGCAGAACATTGAACTGAGTGCTTTGGATTTTTTGTTAAGTTTTTCTTGGTTTTGAAGACAGATAGCAATAGAATAAGATGGGTGGGTTTTAAATATGCAAAATGGGGAAGTAGACGTAAGTATTACTCAAGTCTCAAGGACAGAATGATGTATTGTAACCTTAAGAATGTTAAAAATGCATTCACTTACAGAAAAATGATAAAAGAGAAAAGCCTATAAAGATCAACCTGAAGAAGCGTGATGACACTTGCAGATGGGAAGTCAAAAGATGAAAGAGCTGCCTTATTGAACAACACCAAAAGCACTAAGAAACAGAAACAGAAACGGATGAGTAACTGAGCAAAATACCGTATTCTTCTCCTAGATGGAAAGCCGTACATATCACAAGTGACACACAACGACACACATTACAAAAGCGAAATAGCAAGAGAGGGAGGTAGAATATACCACAGGTCTCTCTCTTCCAGTTCATGGAAAATAATTCAGATGAGTTTCCTTTTACAACATTATGTCCTTAAACTGATTATGAGAGGGAGAATGGAGGCTAAAACCCAAGAATATTGCGGGAATTTGTCGTGCGAAAATGGATCCCTCAGCACTAATTCAACCAAAATTTTTCATTTCAACAAACTCCTGAAAATATCTTTACGGGTATCATGTGTAGCATAGTCCTTACAATTTACAATAAGGAAGCGTAAAATCACATACACATGCCCCCGGGGAACAATGCTTTCTTACTCTAATAATCCAATTAAGCAAGAGTCTACCACAGCTTTTGTAACTTATCGCTCATTCTTTGAAATTTTCTCGAGAGCACTATCACCTTTATATATGTATATGTATGTATAGGTATATGTATATTCTATTTTATGTTTATCCAAACAAAAGTCGAATGAACTCACACGCCGAGACATTGAAACGCTGAACTCATTATTAAATACCAATGCATCTCCATACTAAAAGGTGAAAGCGATCTTCCTCGTTCGATATGAGGAACTTAGGATTGTTCAAGGAGTCAAGGAGGATAACGAGCTTCTAAAATTGCAAAAGTTGTGCATAAAGGAGTACTCAAAAGAGAATTGATGAACGTACCAGCGCAGGACATGTAAGATATTGCGGCGTAGGCTCCTCGTTTAGTCATGGCGGACCCATTGAAAAGCTTCTCGTCGCCCTTGAATAGCTTCCCTCCTTCCTGATCCTTTGGAGGATCCGTAACCGGCAGTAACATCCTCTCCGCCGAATCGGACGGCTTCGGAGACATTTCTCAGCTCCTCGATCGCTTTCTCTCCGGAGGGCTTAGGTACGAAGGAAGGCTCTTGGCTTAATTGAAATGATGCCCTCTAACTCACCGAGGCTAGGTCCCCAATCCATGACCCGAATGTGAGTTGCGACTCGGAACTCGGAAGTTGACGCCTGACTTTTCCATCTTTTTGACCTGGTCGTCCCGTGGAAGGATGGATAAGCTTCTGATAATTTGGAGAAATTATTAATATTTGGTTCCTTTTATGTTTTTTCCCCCTTCAAGATATCTCCGCGCTCAATAATCATGAATGTTTTTTATTTGTATAGTATACATGAAAATTAGATTTTACCCCCAGGATGCACGGAGACATTAAAAGTTAATAAACGTTAAATATTCAGCAAGTATTAATTTTATAATTTATAACAGCATTAATATTTAGAAGGAGTAAAATTAAGTAAGCAATTATAAAAAATAAAAATAATAATAAAGGTTTAAATACCAATTACTTTTATTCCTTGCATGAGAATGTGTTGGACGAAAGAGTAAATGAGGGCTGTATGAATGATTAACTTGATAGGATTTTGATTTAATCTAAAATCTTATCATTTTTATAAAAAGACTGGATTAGGCAATTCATAGTCTGATCTAATCCTAGTATGACCTAAAGTTAAACAGGATTGAATTGATCCAGTGGGACTAGGAAGCTAGCCTCAATCTTTTCTAATGTCTCACTTCATTTTTTCCTTTTCATTTATGAGAAGAAGTAATTTATTTTAACATAATAAATTCAATTAACATAATAAAATTACTTATTTATCATAATAAAAATAATTATAAATTTACAATAATCTCCAACGACATCAAAAAGTATTTTAGTTATAACACAAATGATTCAAATTAAATAAACTTTACCAATATTAAATAACCTCCAACATGTTTTAAATTCATTACATTAAGTTAACAACAAATTTTATCAATAAAAGAAAAGGATTAAGGTTAGTCAATGCTGAAATTTTGTTGATATTCATGATTTTATAAGTATAAAATAAAAAAAATACTAATTATTATTATAAATTAACTCATTGCAATGATAATTAATAAATTTATTATAATTATATTAAATAAATTTATAAGACTGGACCAGACCAGATGACCCAGATACTCGATTCCTTGTCCAGTTCAGCTGAAAAAAAGAGTTTGATTTTTTTTATCTTAAAATACTAGTTTTTATTTAGATTGGATTAAATCAAAGGACTTTTGCAAGGCCCTGAAGTAAATAACTATTTGTTTATTCTTACACATATTATTATTTTATAAAATAATATAAACAGTAATTGCGTACCTCGTAAAAATTAAAAGTTTAAAAACATGTCCTGGTTTAAAATTTATTACTCTTTTTTTGGACCAATCGTTTAAAATTTATTACTCAATCCACATTTAAAATGTAAGTAACGTGTTTATTTGATAATTTCCTATCCCTATGAACAATAAAAATATTAATAACAGCTTATTTATTTTAAAATTATTTATCCTTACAAATTAAAATATAAGTGTTTGCATCCAAATTGCACCACGCCTGATTGTTTTTTACAAACAATAAGTAACAACACGTGTTGTTTTATAATTTGTTAGATATCCATATTAAAAGGATTGATTATCTTTTATATTGATTGTTATAATACAACAGTAACAACAAAAAACTTATCCCACCAGGTGAGATCAGTTGTATGGCTACATGGCTCTTATAATTTAGAAAAATCATAAATCACTTTTCACCATGTAGCCATGCATTTGTATATTTTTCCCATGCTTTTCTTTGCACATTCCCAATGATTCTACAATTTAAAAAAAGTAAAATTTTAACTTGTAACTTGCATTTGCTTGTAATCATATTTCTTCATTTTTTAAATATAAACAAATTTAACGAATTCACTTAGTCTAAGAAAGATGTTAAATGTAACAATTATATTTGAAATTAAAAATTTAGGATAAATTATCTTTATAATCAATGAAATAAGTTTGTCTCACAAAAATAATTTTTTATTTTTATAGAGGTATTTTTCAAAATATAATAAAAATTTATTGAATTTTATTATTTTATTTATAACAAACAATAAATTATATGATAGTTTCTCTCATGATAAAAACTGAAAAAGTATTTATGAATTTTTTTGACAGCTAGTCCAAAGCCTTGAGAAGCTTGAAAGAAGTACAGTTAAAATTAATTATTGTTTGCAGAAATGATAGAAATTAAAGCATCAAATCAATGCCACCAATTGTATACATCATTCATGAGACTCTCTAAAATGGTAAAGTAGGGGAAGTATCTAAAATGACTATATACAATCTATAAAACCATAAGATATGATGATCGTCGACCAACTGAGGAGGTAACCCATTTAAAAGAATAAGAAATGACAAAATCGTTGTTATAGGATTTAATAAGTAGGAGAGCCCATCAGAGAGCATGGCGATGGTAGGCTAACCCACTCAACAGAGATCAAATCGAGCCTGCTGGAGATTGATGAGGCAATTAATTTGATATTTGTCAACAAAAAGCTTAATCTGGTGGAGGACGGGGTTAGAGTAAGGAATGGCTTGAGAAGGCAAGTCTCAATGCTCGTTTTGACTTCATAGCTGTAATATGTAAATACATATAGGTTCGTCATGGGATACACGGAAAGCTTTTGCTGGTCATGCATTAGTGGTGGGTTGGTTACGTCGCACGTGTTAGCTAGTATTTGCTATTGTGTTCTGTATTAAACGTATCGATCATCGATTAGTTTAAAACATATGTTGTATATATTATATTTCAAATCCATGTTAATGTGTATTTTGTAAATGGAATTTAGTGTAATGTCATTGACATATACCATGCCTAGTTTGGCAGGCTGCATAACACTTTTACAAGACTCGTTGACGGGACGTTGAACCATATGCATCATTTTCAACCAATTCAATATTCATATTTGAAAGCGACGACTTTAACTAGTTTCAGATTCTATTTAAGAGAGTCTAACCCTTTTTAATTTCTAAATTGAAGGCTCCTTGAGACTGTTCCATCTTATATGTATAGTGTTGATTGATTCATAATTTCAAACCTCACAGAGTTTGAGGTGGTGAGTCAATGCTTGGTTGAAAACAAAATTTTTACCTCATGCATCAGAGACAATAAGATCTAATAAAAATGACACATTAAATTTTAATTTGGTTAAAATACATAAAATTTTCTTAAACTTTAAGATAATTGTACATAACACTCCTCACCTTCAAAAGTTTAAAATTAATCTTCCAACCTTTAATTTTATTTTTCAAAACCCTCTATTGTTAATCATGTTATTTTTTCATGAGGGCTAAAATATCATTCAACTAAAAAATGTCACTAAACAAAAATATTATATTGTATAAATATTAATAATGATTTTTTATATAGTCGAGGCATTGAAAAAAATTATTATTATCACTATATAAAATTTTAATATTTATGTCTACATTAGTTTTATCCATGTTTTTTTGTTAATTTTATTATTTTAAAAGACAAATTTTTATTTATATTTCCATATTAGACTAATGTAATGCACATGGTTAAAATATTTAAAATTTTAAAATATTATCATGTTAGGTTATTTTATCCTTTAATAGTAGAAAACTATGCACCATAGATAATAAAAAAAAGATAAAATAATATAAAAGAAATATTTAAAATTTTATATGGTGACAATAACATTTGTTTTGGCTATTATCAATGCATCAACTATTTAAAAAATATAAAAAATTAATTAGTCATAGTTCTACAATATAATATTTTGTTTAATAATATTTTTTAGTTGAATGACATTTTAACCCTCATGAAAAAATAACATAATTAGCAATAGGGGGTTTTAAAAATAAAATTAAAGTTTAGAAGGGTTTATTTTAAACTTTTAAAAGTGAGAAGTGTTATATATAATTGTTGCAAAGTTTAAGAGATTTTTATATATTTTAGCCTTTTAATTTTAAAAAATAAAGGGATATTTGTTTAAATTTAATGATGAGATAAAATTTTTCTCATTTTAATTATTTAAAATTTAAAATATATATTTTAAAAGTTTATGATTCAAATTACCCCTAAACCTATAGTTTAAAATTCAAATCATATATTAACCCTATTAAAAAATTATTTTAATATCCTTAAAGTAAAATATATGATTTTTCCTTTATTTTATCTTAACTATATAGATTTTTAAATTTTTAAAATCCATACGAATCCTTCTTAAAATCAATACTTAACAGTTATAAAATATAAATATGCCTTTTATTTTTAATTTTTTATTTTTATCCATCTAATCATTAATTGACAGTTAGGTTATATATGTTGGATTATAATATCATTTTAATATATTCTTTTAAATTTGTATTAAAATTTTAAATTTATTAGTCATATAAACTAATTTACTTAGTTTTTTTTAAATTAAATACATACTCTTTGTTTTAAAAAATATAAGATATTTTTAATTAATTTTACTCTCAATAAAATAGTTACTTATTTTATTTACTATTTAATTTAGTGTTTCACTCTAAAATAAATATAAAATAATTTATTTATTAAGAATATTTTTTTAAAAAAGGGAACAATGATACTAAAAATGTCTTATATTTTCTAACATTCTAACCCTAAAAAATATCTTACAGTTTTAAATGAAAAGAGTAAGTTTATTAAAATAATATTTCAAACATGTATATTAAAAAAAACTTGATGAAATAAGAGATAAATTGATTAATATAAGTTTTGCTTATGTTTATTTAAATTTTGTAATCTTAATAAAATATTTTGAAATTATTGTCATACTTAATTATTATTATTTTTTGTTGCCACAAACTATTTGAAATTCCTTGAATTAAGAAGTAAGAGGATAGACAAATAGATTAAAGGAATAAATTAATAATTTAAATTTTTTCAACACAAATACAAATAATAAATTAAATATTTTATTATATTTAACATAATATTCCAAGTCATATTAAAAATGAGACTAAAGTATATGTTTTTAAAATAAAGAAGAAGTCTTTATAATTCTAACAAAACAAAAGAGATGTAAGGGTATTTTACTCTATAATATATTAATTTATGAAAATTAAAATTTAAAAATATTTAATTTTAATTTTTTGTTTGTATATATTAAAAATATAAATAACAACTCATTTTATTTTAGAATATATTATC